TAATGTTTGCCTCAATCGATTTTGTTAATTTTTTAATTTAATTTAAACAATACGGAAAACATTTTTTTCATTTTCGAATTTCTATAACTTTACAACAGTGGGTCGTAAAAAAATTTGGACTTATGAATTTTAAAGAGAATTTTACGCTCTACAGAAAAAGTTTCCAACGTAGATTCTTAAAATTAAAGTTAAATTGATAAGTAAAAACATTGCTTGAGACATTACCACAAACAAAATTCAACGATATTGATATTTAATGGCTTAAAAAAATGAAATCATAACTTTGTTTCTTATAGAGACAATAACTGGGGCTTTGACCTTATAAAATAAATGACTTTTGGCATAATTTTTATAGTGAAAATTGTAATACATCAAGCGGTGCAATATGTTCTAAGATTATCGATAATTTGACTCTAATTTTTAAAGATATTTTCTTTCTGTGTAGCTATCAGCTTTTGAACATAATTTGAAATATTTTCTCAAGACCATGAAAATTATTAAATTATCGTCTTTATCATTATGATTATTATATACTTTTCAAAATAGCTTAAATATTCTCAACATTGAACAACGAAACTCTTTTATTACGCTAAATTCAATAAAGTATTCATGATAGGTCATTAATTGCTAGTGAGAACTTTTTTGTTTTTTCAAAATAACCAACGATTCTCTAGTCTGATCAATTTTTGAAACTGAATGACATTTTGTCACTTGAAAAACTAATTAGAATACCGCAAAGTGGATCAAAATTGATAGGTTCCTCCAAGTGATATTGGAGATAAGAAATAATATTAAAAGAACAATAAGAAAGCCGCAATTTCAAAACTAAGATTTTTATAATCAACAACAAATTTAAATCATTAATTATGAATCTTAATTTTGGAATTGCGGTACAACTCCAATAATTTTAACAAAATATTAAAAAAAAATTTAACTGTAGTAAATGCACTGATTGACCGGTTACTAATTAGTTGATCGATGTACATAAAAGTTAATAAATTTTTATTTTGCAAGGGTTTTTTTTTTTAAGTGTATTAAAAAAAAATTATGGCATTTAGTACATAAAAATCATGATAAAAAGGCACAACGCGGGAAAGAAACTTTTCAGTGATAATTTTTTTGCATGAAAAATTTTTGTCGCGAGAAATTATTACGGATTAAGGAAATCCTTTCGCTCCAGTTGAGTCAAAACAATTGTAGTAGTCAATATACGATAAATTAAAAAAAGAAACCCATAAAAATTTCTATAATTAAATTATAAATAGTATATGAGGCATTAATCGTTGAAATTTTGAAAATAAAAAAAAAAATTAGTTAAATACAAAAATTAATTTGACTTTTTCAAATCAGCTGCTAGTAACCTGTCCGTGATTTGGCAACGCTGTACTTCGGTTGTTTACATTTTCATTTGCACAATATAACCTTAACCACGTTTAAGTTTTTGCAGTCAGTGTAAATAAATAAATGAATTAGTTTGAATTTATTGAATGGTCTGAAGCTCGCGCGATACGCAACTTTGCCAAATGTTTTGACTCCATTTTAACGTAGTTTACTTGAGAATTTTTTGTGATTTTTAATTATTAATTTCTCAATAAATATCTCGGTAACTGATCTATTTTATTGCAAAAAAAGAAACCTGAATATTTTGAAAATCTAATTTTTAGTTTTTTTTTACTTCGTCTAATCCATGACTGATAGTATAATTTGAGAAATACTGCAAACGTCTGACTTTCTCGTAAGACTTTGAACAAATACTAACATTTAAAAATTTTATTTTTTCAAAAATTTGTCCGGTAAAGTATAATTTAAACCTCACTATTAGATAAATAAGGACCTTAACTATAAGAAAAAAATTGAATTTACTCATAATCTAATATTTTTTATTTTACATTGGCGGCGAAAGGACCTCCTTAATAAAGACAAGGAGTCCATTTACCCTATGCACAATGGCGTATTTGTAAAAAAAAGATGTTTGATACAATAATTTATAACGATATTACACCGCTTTTAATTATCCGGAAAATAATTAAGAAACAAAAATTAAAAAATATTTTTATTTATTTCAATCAGCTGAGCGGTAGAAAACTTTAGTCTGACGGATCAGATGCGCGCGTAACGCCGGGTACAGTGGTAGTCATTTTGTACGATTTAATAATGTTCTCTTTTTATTGACATTCGAATATTTATAATAGTATAGTAATTATAATAACAATTACTATAATTTTAGTAACTATAATTTAAAATAATTTAAATAATTAGATTTATTATTTCATAGAAATAAATTTGAATGTCAATATAAGGAATAAATTTTTTCAATTGTACACATTGACTATCACTGTTACCGGCGTTACCCGTTTACTTCATCTAATCCGACAGACTCAAGTACTCTACCGTTCAGTTGATTTAAATAAATAAAAATATAATTATTTTGTACTGGATATTATTCGTTCTGAAATTATAGAAAATAAAAAATCAAAAAAATTTTTTTCCGTGTTTTGTAAATCGAAAATGAAAGAACGGATTGAGGCAAACATTAATATTTATGTTCATCAGGTTAGAACCAAAATCATTATTTTTAGGTCTTCTTTCTGTTTTGGGACATCATCCAGAACGAAAAAAAAAATTTTTTTTCAATCACACTCGTGTTAACATATATAGTATACACATAGTGGTATTTTTGCTGTGATATATAAGAGCACTTACCAAACTTTAAAAAAAATAAGTCAAGATTTTTTTATTCAGAAATTGTTTTCTGGTTTCCGTTTTAATATTTAATGTTACTGTATATTTATTTTTACTATTCAAAAATTAATACACTTGTATAAGTTTTACTCTTGTCGAAATAAAACCAACACTTTGTAATGATAAGTATCAAGACATAAAAGTGTACTGTACGATCAATCCGTGCAAACATAAATGAGAGTATGGTTATATTGGTTATGAGACGAGATGCATAGATCAACATACATTGTCTATAGAGGTCTCTGCCTCCACAGTCGCGTTGCCGTGGTTATAGCTACATTGGATTATCACGACGCCATTATAACGTCATTTCTATAATGTTAAATTAAAAAATAAAAAATTAACATGAAAAAAAAAACTTTTTGCTTAGGTATAGAAAAATTAATTAAAAAGATAAAAAATTCCAATTTTGTAAAAAATTAAAATCAGAGTATTGCGGAAGTTAAAAAATTTTCAAAAAAAATCGAATTTCCGAAAATTATTATTTTTTTTTCAGATAATAAAAAAAATACAATCTTTAAGAAAGTTCAATTTTACAAAAAAAAAATTTCGTTTCTCAGTATAAAAATAAATTTTTTTTAATTATTTAAATTTTTCAATTATCCACAGGGCTTGGTAGTGCACCCATGGGTATATATCGCTCAGAAGTCTCCGATCGAGATTTGTATTAATTTAAATTTCAAATTTCTAAGTACACATTTTGTACTTCTTACATGAGTTACAACTATTTTTCTATTTTCATACAATAATTAAAATTAAGAATTCTATTAATAATTTTAATATTAGTTTGATTTTTTATCAATGTTTTTTATTTTTTTTCTAACTATTAATTATTGTTATACATAATAATAAACATTATTATATCTAATAGTCCAGTCGACGTGGAAAAAAAAAATAGGAAAACGGTCGACCCTAAAGGGTCTCGCAACTTCCGACTAATTCTTTACTTAAGCTCTTAAAATTGCACTTAGGGTAAGTGTGGGTATTACTGCGGTTTTTTTGGTAGGTCTTACTTCAAAAGCATTTTTATTAAATTTTTCGAAAATAACAAAAATTTTTTTTTTAAACCAAAGTTTGACTCATTATTGACTTAAAAAAAAAAATCAAGAGTGCGATAAACTAATATTTTCTTTAAATAATAAGTATTTAAAAAAAAGTTCATATGCATGTATTACTGCGGGCATAAAAGGAGCTTCTCTCTATTACTGCGTGCCAATTATTGCGTGTCTATTACTGCGGATGAAATTCAATGATAAACAACTTCGGGATCATATAAGAAATTGATAAAATACGTTTGAAAGATAATTATTTGTTTAATAAAATGACTTGATTAGAAAAACATATTCCTGAAATAATTTAAAAAATAAATTAAAAATCTTAATTAAACAGACAAAAAACAGAACTACAAAAGAACATTTGTAAAAGTTGTGACAAACATTCTCATATATCCTATTTACAACGGAAGTTATAATTTTTTTTAGTTTGTGGTCTTGCATTTTGGTCTTGGTCTTGCATTATCGGTCTTGTTCTTGTTCATTCGGTCTTGGTCTTGGTCTTGCAAAATCGCAAGACCAAGACCAAGGCAGATTTTGCTCATTACTAATTTGTCATTATCATCCATCTCACTACAGAGTATTATCTAAAGTGTCTATACAATAATAATTAAATGTTATTCAACATATTTTCAATAGAAATAAAATCCCAGTCTAACTTCAATTTTTCAGTAAATAAATTATTTATTGCTGACAAATTTTTCCATCAACTAAAAGAAGAAACTTTTGAATAAAAATTTTATTTATTTAACATTTGTATAACACTACCCGGAAATACTTTTCATCTTTTCATAGATGTCAATTACAATCGATTACTCTTATCTTCGTTCATTGAAGTTTGTAAATATTTATCGTCTTTATCTACACCAATTATTACTCATCATTATTACCATTATTCTACTATGTGATGTATGTTGTACTACTACCTATTGCGTTTTTTTTAGTAACATTAATGTTTCAGCGTAATTATGCCAATCGATTTACTTTCCGAAGTTTCCTTCTTACGATAACGAATTTTGCGAAATAAGCATAAACTTTATTAACTGTTTATGTTTTTATCACTTATTTTGATAGAATTGGAATAATGCAAATAAAATAAGAGGGGATAAAAAGTCCTGAGTTATATCTGGGGACTCCCAGCGCTGTTTATTCCACTCGCTTAAAAGCACCGCACTCATTAGCTTATCATTCATTCGCTGTTTCTATCGTGACTCGCTAATTACGTAACAATACGAAATGAAAATTTATTTTTTTATTCTTTTAATCAATTTTTATTTTATTTTTATAAATTCTCTGGTAATTGAAAAAAAAATCGAACATGGTAATTATTGAAATTTAAATTTAAGTCGTAAAAGATTTGTTTAATTATTTTCTAAAATTACAATTTTGCATTGTAATTTATTTAATTTTTTTTAATCGAAGTCAGTTTTTAATTATTATATTTTTGTTATGGCATTGAGAAATTTATGAAAAATTTACTGTACAGTTTAGTTTTTGAAAAATTTTTAATTTTCTTAGCGGGAATTTAAAAATAAAAATAACATCGGATTGAATGAATTTGTTTTTAAAAATTAATAATTAGAGTGTCCTAGGATAATAACGCGTCAAGAATGGAAGGCAAGAAACGTAACGGGGCATCAATTATTATGGACGCGGCCAGTTCCTTATGTAGTGATCCACCACGGCGGAATTCTCCATTATTGTTACGACATAAAAGAGTGTTCTGTAATCGTTAAATCTTATCAAGATCTGCACATTGATACCAATAAGTGGATTGACATTGGATACAATTTTGTCATCGGAGAAGATGGAAACATTTACGAAGGTCGCGGATGGGATTTTGTGGGCGCTCATGCTCCGGGATTCAATACTCAAAGCATCGGAATTTCGATTATTGGAGATTTTTCACGTGGGTAATTTTAATTATTAACTAGAAATTTTCAAAAGTAATTAAATACTTATTTTTATTCTATTACATAATAATTAAAAAGTGAGACATTTTATCAATTTTTTATGGTTTTTAATAAATTAATCACTAAACAATTTCTTAAAAAATTTATCAATCATATTTTAGAATTTCTGCTAATAGAATTTTTAAAAAATGATCTAAAATTACTTATTTATTAGTAAATTATAGCTTAAAAAGAAAAAAGCATATTTTGATAGCAAATCAAATTAGAAAGTGAATAATAATTTTTAATGATTCAAAATAAATTTAATTTAAGAACTAATAGAAAAAAAAATTAATTTTACTAAAAAATCAGCGTGGATCACTTGATAAAATTATAAATTTAGTTAATCATTGCAAATATTTTCCACACACTGAAAAAAAAATTAACTTGAATCAAGAAAAAAATTCTTGAACTAAGAAAATAATTTTGAAGAAGTTCATTGTCTTGAATCAAGCCGAAAAATTCTTGAATCAAATAAAATTTACTTAAAGTAATTTCTTAGTTTAAGAAATTTTTTACTCAAATCAAAAAGATGAAATTCTAGAAAATTATTTATGAAAATTAATTTAGCAGATATTTGATAATTAAAAAAAATTTTTTTTTCCAAATAAATTGTGGCAAAAATAATGAGAAAAAAAAATTGACATGTATAAATTTAAAAAAATTAAAAATACAATTTTTTAAAAATAATTTTTTTAACAAATTTGTTTGTTAAATAAAAATTAAAAAATTATGAAGTGGCGGCTAACTTTAATGTCATAAATTATTTACTTGAATCAACTAAATTTTTTTTCTGTGAAATATCGCAAAAAAATCTGTGATATAGTCCCAAAAAACAAATAAAAAGTTAAAAAAAAGAAACAAATATATATCAAATAATAAATCCAAAGTGATTAGTGTGAAATAACAAAAAATAAATTCACACATTGAAACAATCAATATATAAAATTAAATAACATTAAATTTAGCTGTCACTATAATTTTTTAATTTTCTTTAACAAACAAATTTATTCCAAAAAATTATTCATAAAAAATTGCATTAAAGCTATATTCTTCCCCTTTTTTTTATCTCGTCAGGAACAAAATCATTATAATCATCGTCTAAATCGTTATCACTGTCCATATTTATTACGGAGTAAGATTTTTGTTAAATTAATTAACGTTCAGAAAATATTTCACACCAAAATAATGTTTACGACTGAGCGAAATCGTTAATAAAAAAACAATCCAGAATCATTAATTGAGGTTTTAGCATACTTCAGATTGAATCATAACCGACAAAAAGATGTAATTTTAATTATTAATTATTTATTATTTTCTATTTTTTCGGGGCTTTGAATGTTTTTAAATATATTTTTTTATTTTTTTTTTGCTGTGAAAGTCAAATTTTAGAGCAGAAATCTATGGATTGATCGTAAATATGAGCCCGTATTGTTTATTTAAGTCAACAGTTGAGCGGGTCCTAAATACGAATTTAGGACACGCAGTGCTATAAAATATATTTTTTATTGATAAATATTTGTATTCATTCATTTCATCGCGATAATCTGCAAATATTATGTTGATTACGTTTGTTTCTGTATGAACTTAGTGAATACGACTATTGACACTCATGTGTTAGCGCACACGCTCTGCTCGTTGCGCCAACCTTCTTATATAGTCGAAAACTCCATCCGAACGATTAAAGAGTTTAATATTTTGTTAATTATTGGTCTTTTTTTTATATAGAAAGCCTTTTTTTTTTTTTTATTAACAAGGACATAATGCTAATTTTATTATTAAAAAAAATAAGTCGTATTATTAACTTTTAAAATAAAAGCGCTTTTATTAATTATTTGTATTATTTAGACAATTCAACAAATTAGCTTCAACTATTTAAATATTAATTAATTTTTTAATGCATTAAATTTGTTACAGATTTTAATCCAAATAAAAATGCACTGAGAGCGCTGACTGACATAATAAAGTGTGGAGTGTTGCTCAACAAAATAAGTATTAATTATCAAGTGATTGGGCACCGTCAAGCCCGAATCACTGCTTGTCCTGGTGAAGTTTTTTATAATTACGTTCAATCAATGCCAAGGTGGACATCTACTCCTGTACCTGTTTACGTTGATGCCAATCATTATAATTATAGTAATAAAAATAATAATGATTCTAGTCTGAATAATAAAATTGATGAAAAAAACTAGAAAACTTTTGCTGAACTTTATTTCTTCTTAGCAAACTCATAAAATTATATTATACATTATTATCTTATATTTATTGTTGTTCGTTGCTGACATTCTGGGGGTCTTCACGAATGTAGAGAGTGACCATACGGTTGACAGCAAAATCATAACTGTCACTTTCGCCGCGTACGCAAATATCTAGACTCGAGTGGCCTTCACCTTCTAGATCTGGGCTATAATCTCTTACCTAAAAAATTAATATTATCATAATTATGATCGTTGATCAATATTAATCATTAATGATTGATGATGATAAAAAATGATTGATTTTAATTTAAAATAAATTAATTACCTGAATGGGTATGTACTGCTTAAAATGTTGGTTCAATTCTGGGATGCAAACTTTTGTACCGTAAGGAATTTCCGAATTTGTGTCCATTGCTGCTGTTACGTATTCATCTCTGCCGTCTAAAAAATCCTTAAATAATTATTTTTTATTAGTCATTAATTAATAATTGAATATTTACGGATTATAAATAAGAAAACTTTGGCTTAATGATTTTTTGTTTTTTTTAATCGCACTGTACATAGTATGGGTACTTTTTAAATAAATTTTAAAAATAATCGTACTATTACAGGATTCATTATAAATAATTTAATGGACAAATGTGACAGAATAAATTAAACTATAAAAATTTCTAAATAAAGAAAAAAAAATGTATAGAATTTTAATTTGAATATTAAAAGTTCGCTCGAAAGAATCTGAAATAATGCATACTAATAAATTAACAAAAATTATGAGCGACCTTTCAAAATTTGAATTTTGAACTGAAACTTATTTTTTTTGTCTATAAAATTATACCGTAATGAGAAAAAAAATTAAAAAAAAAAAAATTCAATTCTTGACGATTTTTGAAATTTAAAAAAATTTGGAGCGACCTCTTAAAAATTTTTTTTTGAGCTGTCCTTTGGAGAGGACTCTTAAAACATTAAAAACTAACATTTTTTCACTCGAGACTAAAAAAAAAAAATTGTTAGTTTTTTTGGGCTACCCTATTATAAATATACTGGCAATAATAATTTTATCCTGGATAAAATTTTTTCTTGGATTGAAAAACTGGCCTTTAGTCTCTTGATTAAATAAATTAATTTTTTTATATATAACTAGATTCACATCTACAAAAAAAAAATAAAAAAATGAACAAATGACGTTTATCGCTAAATTCGAATCTATTTAGAACTACTTCGAAAACTTATAGTAGTAAATTAGCTATTGCTGAAAAGTATACAAAACATTGAAAAAGCACAAATCCAGGTCAAGACCTTTCCAAAGATACTAAATTTAATTTAAAAAACTCATTCTATCATAAATACGCCGGAGACAACATTTTACTTATTCTCTTTATTATATAGATTAATAAAGTGTTAGTAGATATATTCATACTTTGAAAAAAAAAGTGGAATAATAAAGATGCTATTTTTTATAAATGTAAAATTTTTCGAGAATTTTTAATATAAATAATACAACACATAGAAAAAAAATGATCTCGAATCAAGTTAATTTTTTTTTTTCCAGTGCATTTTTTAAATTATTTGACATTTTTTAAATTAAAGATAAAAAATTTACTAGATATTTATGACACTGAAGTTAGAAGGCGTCTAAAAATTTTTGATTTTTTTATTAATCAAATTACAACTAAAAAGTTATTTCTAAAAAATTGCACTTATAGTTTTTCGAGTTTTTTACATGTGAATTTTTTAATTGAAATTTTTTCAATAAAAAATTTCTAAAAACTTTGAAATGTCGGCTAACTTCATTTTCATAGATATTTAAAGAATAATAATTGAGTTTTTCAAAAAATATTCAAATTGCAAAATTTTACACATTATTTTTTTGCAAACAATAAATTAATAAGTGATTTAGTCATAAAATATTAAAATTTAAATTACCTGAAGAGTTTTCAACTTTTTTCCCCTCACATCCAAATAATCAGAAGGTTCATCGCTAGCAAAATCAGGGTAATACGCTGTCAATGATACATTGTAATATGGACAACCGATGCACTTTAAACTTGGGTTTAAACAAATTTCTAGAAGTGCAAAAAAAATGTGTTATGAGTTTATTAATTGATTAAAAAAGATAAATAAAAAAAAATTACCAGCACATTGAGTTAGAAAAAAGCTAATAGCAGACAGAATAATTATCTTAACACTTTCATTACTACTTAAACGAAACATTTTGTGATTATTTAAAAAAATATCGGTAATTTTTCAATAAGAGTTATTAACAGTATTGTTGTCAACAGTTAAATGATCATTACTACCTTGATTATAAATCATAATTATAAATTGAGTTGTGTAACTACATTGTTCTGAATTATGTGACATATTTTTAATTTAAAAATGCTTGAGTTGCATGTTTTTATTTCATCATTTGTTTCATAACAATATTTTTACTTTTATAACTTTATCACGATTATTTTATATCACAATGAAATGAAATCATTTTTTAAAATATTAATTAATAATTGTTTTTATTTTCGTTAAGAATTCAATTTTTGTAAGAGTTTTAAATCTAATTGAAAAATTTAATTTTGTACCTTCGTTATTTTACAATAAATTTTTTCAAAGAATAAATAATAATAAAATTAAGAATTTTTAATTTTGAATTTATGATTCTTTAAATTCTAAAGCTAAATTTTTGCAAACGAAGCATGAAAGGATTCCTAAGTAAAAAATTTAATTTCCTATAAAAAATTTTTCTCATAATTTTTGTCCCAGTTTATAATTTATGAACTCTAATTACGGTCGAGAAGTAAAGCTTATCATAAAATTGATGAATGATTCTTAAAGGAAATTCTATTTTCTACGAGAAAGATTTCTTATGACATAACTTTTTCATATTTTCCTCAAAAAATCAATTTTTAACTGTGCTATAATATTTTCAGCTACCCTGTGCAACTAATCAAATATTTAAAAATTTTTTTTTCCAACTTTGAGGTGTAAATTGCGATAAAAAAATAAAATGTATGAAAAAATTGATGAATCACTTTCAAAGGAAATTTCAGTTTCTACAAAAAAATCATTCTATGTTTTTTTTTTTTTCAAAGATATTTTTTTCAGTGACCGATTGTATATATAAATTAAATTCTTTTTCCGCCTAGTAGTCACAAGTGACTAGTGAATCTAATTCAAGCCAACAAATGGACATTCCATCTTCTCTAATGGTCGAGAGACATTCTCTCTTGTTCATAAGTTCGATGGAAATCCATCGAACTTGAATACTAGTAAAGCTGGAAGTTTGTGTTATCTGTTCGAGTTATAAAGATGATAGATAGATAGATAGATAGAATACTTTATTTATGCCAAGGTTTATACCAGATGGCAATTTTAACAATATACATACAAGAATTCTTAATGTATACAAATATAATTAAAAATAAGTTTAATATAATTAAATTAATAAAAATAAATTAATGAAATGAATAATAATATAATTAATAAATAACAAGATTATTAAAAAAAAAAAAAAAAAACAATTTTGATTTAGCGGATCTTAAGAGAAACGGAAAAGCGTAAAAAATTTTAAACTTAATTATAAATAAGACCGAGATTCATCGATTTAGATAATAAAAAACAAGAAACAGCAACTATAATTAAAAGTCCAGATTAAATAAATGATCATATATCTTATTTTTAAAGCTCTCTATACTAGTTGACTCATCAATTATATCTGCTGGCAATTCCTCCCACAATCGAATAACAGTTACAACAAATGACAATTCGTATTGTGTGGTCGAAAAATAGGGCATTACGAAGCTAATATTATTTCTTTTCGCTGCTAGTCTTTCAGATCTTCGCAGATTAGGATCCTCAATGAATAGTTCACGCAAATAACATGGTTTTCCTATATCTAACAATTTATAGAAATAGCATGATATATAGTAAATACGACGACTTTTTACAGAGAGCCAGCCCAGCTCACGTCTATAAGGTGTGATGTGTTTGTCGCGCTTTAGATTAAATATGAATCGGATAGCTGAATTTAAAGACCGTTGAAGTTTCTGGTCATTATCATAAATAGAATTTGATAATACTATAGAGCAATAATCAATTAAGGGCAATATTGTTGCTGAGACTAGTAAGATGTTAATTGAATGAAAGATAATGAAAGAAATTGAATAAGAGCAAAGACAAACCTTGAAAAAATATATGGGGTCGGTTACCGAGCCAGGAATCGAACCTGGATCTCCCTGATTACATGTCAGGAGCTCTGACATGTAATCAAGGCTCCTGATAGCTTGAACTAGATTCACTAGTCACTTGTGACCCACTAGGCGGAAAAAGAATTTAATTTATGATTTTTTTTATTTATTTATTTATCAAAATTTATGCCAAGGCTCCATAGGCCGAATGGCAAGCTAAAAAATACATAAACATATATTTTCCCTCGAAAATGAATTTTAAACATTATTCATTTTTTTTTAATGCCCTAAATATCTTAAAAAAAGAAGAAATGTTTATTTTACTGATGTAAAACCTACGAAAAATAGTTAAGTTAGCTTAATAGAACTTTAAAGCGTAAAGATCTGATGAAATTTCAATTTCTAAAATTTGAAGTGAAAGCAATATAACTTTTCAATTTAAATAACAATTTTCGCCCGAAATAATTTTTTTTTTACATTGAAAGCTTTAAAACTAATTAAAAAATTTATTTAAAAAATTTCCATGATAATTACTGCATATTCGCCGGAAAATAAAAAAAAATCTTAAATTCTCTATTTTTTATTCTAAAAAATAATTACTAAAGGTAATATTAATTAAAATAATTAATTAATTCACGTGTTTATCTAATTAATTAATTTAAATTACAACTAATTAAAATTTTTAAGCAAGTTTGAAAATAAATAAAGTTAATTGACGATTATAAGGGGTAATATACAATTAGTTATTACAAGAAGGTAACAAATTTACGAAAGACAGTCTTTAGAAGTTTAGAAGTAGTCTGATGAATATTTTATAGGAAAGTAAGGTTGTTATTCTAACTGTCCGGGTAATGAATTATTAAAGCGACTAGACTAGGCCACGTGGAGGACCTATCCACGAGCTTACAACCCCACAACTCACCACCACCGTGAGTTACATTCCATTATTTCATTATTATTGTCATGCGATGTTATATGTCAGACAGTTTTGTGCCGGACATTATCGAGTTGCATTCGTTATCGATATTCTCGCCCTTACCCTTTACAACAATATTTTTTTAAATAATTTTCAATAATAATACACATCAAACTTAAAATTATTAATTTGAAAAATTGTGATCTAATAAGTTCTTCATATCACAAGTGGATGTATCATGAAGAAAAAAAATGGCGGTAAATATTTACAGTTTTTTGTATTGAGTGCTGGATAAAATTTAAGAGAATAAATTTACACTGCTGTTAATACAATATACTATTATAATAATATTAACAGTTTTTATTATGAATTATGATGTGTGATAACAGTTATTAATGTGTCATTTTTCTGCGAACGACTGACAGCTCAGATATTATAGTAATTAAGTTTAATTGATTGTTATTACTGGTAACAATCGAATGAATTCATCATTTTGTTATTATTCGCAAACAAGGTAATCATTTTATTTTTACTTCCTTATTATTGTTACACAGAAAAAAAAACTTATTGCACAAAGAAAATGTTAAGGAAGACAAAAGTTATTTTGGAGCAAGAAGAAATTTTCTTGGCTTGCTTAATATTTTTTTGAGCCAAGAAAATTTACGCTCCAGTTAAGAATTTTTTTTTTTTCAATGTACAAATTATTCATTTTTATAGTTTGTCACGAGCTAAATGTTTTTCGCATGAAAAAGTAAATGTTTTTTTCTTTTTAGTTTTTAGTTATTAAATTGATATAAAAAATGTTCCAAGATTTTAAGCTAAAAACAATATACTAGTGATTTAATAATTAACCTACACCGAAAAAACTGCTTAATTCGAGAAAAATATTCTTTTTAAAATTTCACTCTTGCTTCAAAATTTTTATTTCGAATTTCCAGTTTTAATTTTAATTTTCCACAACTAATTTTTCCTCAAGTCGCTCTATAGAAATTATTTCGATCAGAATTTATATTAAAGAATTGTAATCAAAATTACAGCTGAAATATTGAAAATACAAAAAAATGATAAGAAACCTCTCTTGTGCAAAATTTAATTTTCTACAAAAAAGCCAAAGTCAATTTTTTGGTATTTCTAATAATTGACTCACAATCTTGATATTCATTCTTTCTCGAGGATTAAAATAGAAGGTAAAATTTATTCACGATATTATCGACTTATTTTTAGAATATCAAAGATTCCCTGATTTCTGTTATTTTTTATATAATCAAAAATAAGCATCTAATTCTTTTCAGAAAAAGGAACTTTTTCTTAAACTAAAAATATTAAAGATTAAGATAAAGAGAAATTGTTGTTAAATTTGAAGAATAGTATTTTTTTATGTCGAATTCGATTGTATCTCACGATTATAATATGCTCTTGATTTTAACATTTTTTTTGAATCTGTTTTTGCTTTAAAAATGATTTTTATGACCAGAATTTTATGAATAAAGAGAAGGTTCTCTTAAAAAAAATTTTTTTTTTGGATCACAAATATTTCTCTTGAATCGAGTATTTTTTTAGTGTACACTAATTTAAGAGTAAAAAAAAATAAAGTGAATGCAGACATAGTTTTACACTCATTTTTAAAAATTAATAAGATCTAAAGAATTAAAACTAAATTTTTCTTTGAAAAAGAAATGATTTATAATTTAAATTTAAATTTAATTTAAAATTTATAATTAATTAATTAAAAAATTTTTTCTGATGATTTTTTTAATTAAAATAAATTTCTTCTAAAATTAAATACCAAAAAAAAGTTAAATTATGAAGTTGTATAATTACTTTTTGAAGTTTGATTAATCCTAATGATTTTTTTTTTAAAGAAAAATTTATTTTAATTAGAAAACTTGTAATTATATTTTTATAATCATGTTTTCTTAAGTCAATACAATTTTTCAACTATTCGCTAATAAAATTGAAAATTTTGAAAAATTGAGTAGTTTTATTCTCAGCCCAACTTTTTTATCAAAATTATCGGAATATTGAATTAAAAAGCAAACTTGCTATATTAAAAGTTAAATTGCTATATTATAATAAGTGACCGTTACTGGCTTTGTGAGCTGTTGGGTCTGTTCAAAGAATATAATTAAATTAATTAAAATGGAATTTTTCATTTTCAAACCAGAAAAAATTAAAAATTCTAAAATAATCATTCTCTTGGTCTCAAGAAATTAATTTTATCTAGAAAATTCTTTTCTACACTAATAACAGACAAAACGATCTGAATAGTTTGACGGCGTCCCACGGTAGCGCTGGTGTAGGATTCCTCGGAACCAAAAGACTAATTTTCTTGAGTTTAATTTCTTCCTCCGAACCAAGAAGAATACTTACAAGTTTCAATCAACTTTTTAAATTAAAATTATAAAAAATATTATCAAAAGCTTCTATTAAATCTTTGAAATATTAAAAGTAAACAAATCAAATTTTCTATTTAAAATAACCCTTAATAAATTTTTAATGACCCTAGGGTGAATATTCATATTTCTACATTAACATTATTATTATTAATATATGTTTGAGGGTAATTAATAAATAAAGAAGATTCATGTAAACTTTGACATATTTGTTTAGTAATTTTCAATGAACCCGGGGCTTAGCTTTGAAGGAAAGTTCATGAAGGAATCGGCTAAATTTTTTATAAGGACATATACTCAATCAATACTCCAAACCATATACCTTTATATGTCTACAAAAGTGAACAAACATTAAATTCGTGTCAATGTCTGTCCTTAATTTTCAATGCCCAGCCGGCCTTAATAATAAAAAATAAGTCTTAAATAATAAATTAATATCTATCATGATAAACTTGCCTGAAATATTCCACTACATGCATCGTTTCGCTTATATACAGTTACAGATACAAGGTGATAATCTGATTCTGATAAATTTCTATTTATTAGAGTTTTATTACTTAGTTTTTATTTCTTCTTTAGATGTTAGATAAAATTATTGAATTTTTTAAATTATTTATTTATTGATAATTTCTTTTGCAGATTTGCAAATGAATCACACAACACTAAAAACGTGGTTAACACGCGGGGAACTTGAAAAACTTGAACATGTAGTTCTAGAAGGTCGTGGCGCCCGATTGCTGGGAGAATACTCGCCTGATGTAAAAGCAAGAGCTTTTTTACGATCACTTCCTAATTATTTGGTAAGTAACTTTAAAATATTAGTTATTACTATCGATTAGAGTAATGATTGACGATAAAGGACAGCAAATCTTTGAACTCAACAATTTTTTTCAGACTAAAATCAGCCAAGTACATGACGCAGTAGTCCGAGGATCGTTAGAAGACTTACAGAAATTCTTGACTGATGAACCAAAAAAAAAGTATGCCTTTGCCAAAGATCCTTCCGGGACACCATTGCTTACCAAAGCGGTCTACTTCGGAAAACAGAACATCGTAGAATGGTTGATTGCAAACTATCCGAATACTGTTGTTCAGAAAGACAGGGTAAGTATTTTTGTTTGCTTTTATGTTTGACGCTAGTTTGAAGATTTGAATTTTTGGCTTTTGATGGTATAAGTTTTACAACTAAATTTTTACAAGCAAAACATAAAATTATTCTTTAGTAGAAAATTTAATTTCTTGCACGAAAATTTTGTTTTTTTAGTTTCTGAATTCTAAACTCTAATTATGGTAGGGTAAATGCACCAATTATTGACCGATTAAGGTTTTCTTTTTCTGTACTAAGCTATAAAAAATCTATTAATCTACTAAAAACAATTTGTAATGGATTTTATTAAAGTTACATATTTAATTAATAATAATTAATAACTATTTATAATAAAAATTAACAAAATTATATTAATTTTGTTATTTGAATTTTGAAATACTAAAATCACTAATTATTGACCGAAGAAACCCAATAAATGACCGATCGTTCTCCAATTAATTGACCGCTCAAATAATTATAAGTAATTTTCTAAACTACATGTATGTAATTAAATTTATGCAGTACTTTTGAAGTATTAACGACATCTTTAACAAAACTAACCATACAATATAATTTTAAATCGTACTTTTTTATAAAATAATATAAATAATAGCAATAATTAACATAAAGTCACATTTCTTTAGGTCACAAATAATCACAAATTCATTTTAATGACGATAATTCTTCTGATTCACTTGAAATTTTTTTATTTTTCTCCTTCTTTTTTTCATTTAAAGCTTTTTTATTAGCTTGTAACTCTTTTTTATTTTTTTAATTGCTTAGCAATTTTTTCTTCTAATAATTCGTTCTTTGATATAACCGTTCACTAAAAAAATTAGAACAAAATAAAATTTAATAATCAAAAAAGATTTTAAGTATTATTTTAATTATAAATATACATTTTATAATAATTATTTTTATATTTACAAAATATTGAATGACTAAAGTACTTTAAACACTTGACAGATTTAATTTTGAGGTTGAGAAGTTTGTATTATAAACATACGGTCATTAATTGGATTGTGATAAAACCAGAGGGTCTAATAAATGAACGAATTAATTTTTTTACTGGGTAAAGGGCTTCTGACGAATCCAATAGTTGACCAGTCTTAAAATAATATTAAAACTTATAATTTAACTATATTTTTTCAAAAAAGTTGGAATCTTATCTTTAATTAACATAATAAAACTAAAATATTTTATATTATGCCGATAAATATCACTAAATTAATGATGAAATGCATTCACTCTCCAATTGTACGCTAGTTATTTTTGACCGCTTTATAGCTGGTTGCGTTGTAAACAAACTCAGAATATTTTTTTAAAGCTATAATCACTGCGCAATTAATTGCGTAATTTTTTATTATGATGATTACATGCCATATTTTTTTATTTTAATACTGTAAGAAAAAAAAACCCTTGTAAAATATTAATAAATTAACTTTTTTATACATCGGTCAACTAATTGGTGACCGGTTAACAACTGGTACATTTATCCTATAAAATTATGAATGAATATAAAAAATTGAATTTATAAAGAATTAACTAACAGATTTAAGAGTCATAGAGATACCCTAACGGTATTGATGACCCCGTGCTAACTCCGATTTCATTGGAGTTTTGTCGGTGTTTTCGGGACGTGTTTCTGATGAAATTTCATTCAAGTATTCGCGGAGTATACACGGAGAATTACCAGTATTCTATCGGAGTTTTCCTATAGTATTCTCAAAGAGTTTTTATTGAAAAAATGACTAATTTATTTTAATTCTTAGTTATATGTTATATGTAATAGATATTAATAAATAATTGATCAAACGTTGAGAAGAAAGTTTAAAAGCTATACTGACACGCATAAGCATTATACTTATAATTTATCTTGACATGCCGTAGAATATAAATTTCTAGTTTATAGTATTGCGATAGGACTTAATCATTTTTTCAGTGATTATGTCAACTTAATCTAAATAAAACGAACAAGCTCTAAACCCATACGTATTCGACTTGGATTAGTTAGTAACGTGCCGGACTTCCAGTTACAAAGTACTATGTTCGAATCCCATTGTGACCAGTGTTTTTTTTTATTAAATATATAATAATATAATTTCAGAGATGATTAAAAAACAATGTACATTAATTATTTCGTCATTACTTTTTATTCTCTTAATTACTCGTTGGAAAAAAATACCAACAATACTCCGTGGATACTCCGTAAAAACATCAGCAATACTTCGTAGATACTCCGTGAGAACTCCTGCAATACTCCGTAGATACCCTACGAAAACACCGAAGATACTCCGTGAGAAAACCAGCAGTACTCCGTGAAAACTCCGTTAAAACACGTGTAATACTCGATAAAAACTCCGATAAAATTCCATCGAAATTTCGTGTTGCAACTGCACACGAAACTCTGCGTTTCCGTCGCTACAACGCTGCTTAAACTCCATCGATACTCCGAGTATCAGCCGAGTTTACTTGGAGTTTTGACGGTGATGCTTAATCCGCTAGGGTAAAGATAAAAACAAATAAGAAAATTAGAATCATAAAGAAGCTATATCGTGTAAGTTCACAAGAATTTGAATAAATAACAATAAAAACAAGAGAGTTGACTAATAGTTTAGGATCATATATTAAATAAATAATCAAACATCTGATTTTTGAAAATTTCCAAGCTAGATGAGTTTATAATTTCTTCCGGTAATTATTCTCATAGTTGTATCACTGTAATAACGAAAGAAAATTCATATTGAGTTGTACTGAAGTTCGGTAATTTAAAGAGGATATTATTTTTCTTCGCTGCTAGTCGCTCAGAGCATCTTACATTAACAAGGTCTTCTTGGAATCGGTGGATGATTTTTGAAGAAAATTAAATTTTCTATAATAAAGACCTTTCATAATTTTTTCATATTTTCAATATTGTCCCTCAAAAATGAATTTTGAACATTAATAATTTTTAGGTCTATCAAACTAGCATAGACTCGTCCACCAGGTATTGACTCATTATTCAAGCAACAAAATTTATTTGTGGTGCTAAATTTGTTACTCTATTTAGAATATTGTTGCTTGTTTAGATTCCGAAAAATCAATAATAATATCCGTCCAAGATGGGTTTTTGCCGCTGCTAGCTTGATACCCCCATAATTTTTTGACTACCCTGAGCAACTAAAAAAAAAAGAAGAAATGTTTATTTTACTGATGGAAACTTGAAAAAAATTAATTTTTTACTATTAATTGTTATTATTCACTCTCTGATACAAAATAGTTCAATTTCTTCAGAACTTCAATTTCAAACGTATTTCTTCAGATCATTGATAGATAAATAATTTAATTTAATCTTGGAGTCTAAGCCCTTTCGCGACCATCAACAATACAATTAGTTTATCATTTATAAGCATACATTTAATAACTCACTTATTTTTTATTTTTAATTATGAATACTAAACAATAGTAATTATAACTTCATTGATTGTAAAAAAAAATTAAAATAAATGTTACGGAATTCTTCGAAATTATCAATCGCTGTGACTTTGGCTGGCAAGGAATTCTAGATATTTATGCCATAAATTAGAGATGATTTTTCATACATGGTGCAATAAGATCTTGGTAAACGTTAATATTCATGCCTAACATCATCTTCTCAACTTTTTTTTAGTTTTGATCCAAATAATTGCCGAAATTTTTTATAAAATAATTAATCAAATAGTAAACCTTCTTTTCCTTTTTTCTACAAAAAATTATGATTAGTTTAATTGTCAATAGATGCAGAAAAAAAATAAAAACAAAAATTAATATATCCGTCAAAATACAGTGATTTGATAAAAGTCATAAATAAACAGGAAATAACAATGAAACTTCCCCTGAATAAAATTTAGTATTGCGTGACTTGGATAATCATAAAGTGTAACCACCTGGTATGGCCCCAGTAGCTTCTGCTCGTTTTAACCCGACAATAAAACCATTTGATTTTCATGTAGGACGTACGAAAGCAATCTTATACCCCCACTCGTACTCAATATTACCCTCACTTAAGCTATTTTATTCCTCGGTATCAATTGCTCTAGCAATAGACATAGGTATGAACGTCTAAAGTCTTGAGGTACGTCTTCTATTCAGCAATGTCAGTTTAGTTATTCTTACTCCACTTTCAAAGTTTGCAGTTTGTATGTTTGACTTTTTATAACTTGCTCTACTCCATTTTATTAACACTTGTTCTAATAATAATGATAATTATTAATAATAAACAATTTTATCTTTCTTTTTCTTATTTTTCTAGGAAGGAAGAACCGCGCTTCATTACTGCGGAAACTGCAAGGACCCAGAAGCGATATGGGATTTGCTGGTTGAAGCTGGATGCGACACTAGTATCTGTGACAAAAGAGGCCGTCCTGCATCTTATTACCTCCGAAACCCCCAAGAAATCGAGCTCACCGAACCAGACAAGATGGACGACCACAAGTTTTCAAAAAGTGAAGGTATTGCTTCTTCTATTGGTTGATTAATCTAATTTTTTAATTCCCTATGTGAATGTGTGAAAAATTATTCTGGTAAATTACTTTTGCAATGACCTGGAAGTTCGCCCTTGAATACAAAGCTATTATTCATCATCAGAAATATATGAATGTGTATAAATGGCTATAGGAAGAATAAAAGCCTAGTAACATGTTCCCAATGACCCCGCGGAAATCGATAGTGTGAATTTTTTATATTCTTCAATCGATAATTTTTTTCTATTTATATGAAGGGCGATTTAAAAGGTGATTTTTATTAAGACTAGAATTCAAATTTTCGCGCGCAAGCGCGCGCCTTGACTACATAGAGTTTGCATATATTTTCACGCTTATGATATATTCGACCAATCACGTTACGAATAGTTTGATGCCACATACATTTCATCTCAATTTTATATTAGGACTTCACACCTACATTGAATCGATGAAGTTAATTCAATTTTTATTGAAGTTTAATGTTTAGATACATTGAAATTTTTTATCAATTATCAGTTAAATACTTTAAATATAATGAATTTCAAAACTTGAATATATTTTAAAGATCTGATATTTAAGTTTTTACAAATTGAATTTTGAATTTCCTGGTTTTTTTTAATTGCTTATGACGTCAGAAGCGCTGGCACCATCTGTTATCACTCATGACAACCCTGAACTCTGGGAAGAAAAAGTAACTTGTTTTCTTCGTTACAAAAATTAAAATTGATATATTGTCATTACGTAAATTAGAATATATGTTTTTAAAAATTTTAAATGAATGATTTGAATTTCAACAAAATTAATTTGGGTTCAATTTTCAAAACCGTTTCAATTTTATTTTGCAGTTCTAGATGTCAAACCATCGAACATCAGAATTTGGATCCACAATCGCGATATCAAAAAACTTCAGCAGGTTCTTTGGGAAGGACATGGCTCTAAATTGCAGTGTGAAATCAGCAATAATCCTCGTATCAAAAGATTTTTAGAAGCCGTACCTTACATAATGGTAAATTTGATTTTTCATCTTTTAAATTTAAATAATTAAAGCAAATTGGTGAAAACTGTTCAATTCTTCCAGGTGACGATAAAACAAATCCACCAGGCGGTGATTAACAATGACTTGAACACCCTGCAAGATAAAATCGCAGAACCAGTTTCTCCTGTAATTCTTTGCGCCAAAGATAGTAACGGACTCAATCCTTTGCACAAGGTATGGTGAAGAAATCTTTCTTTTGATGAATTAATGAAGAAATGATTGATAATTCATGTCTTTGAATGATTAAATAGGCTGCCGGTCTAGGTTACATAGACATTGCGACAGAAATTGTTGAAAAGTATTCTCAGGCAGCTCTAGCTGTAGATAATGAGGGTAAAACGCCTCTACATTACGCCGCGGCTTTGAGAGACGGGGGGAGTATGTATGATCTTCTGGTGGAATATGGAGCCGATGAAAGCAAACTTGACCATGTAAGAAAATCATTGCACTCTTTAAAAATTTCAAAATCTTGAAATTTGATGAATTTTTGGTTTATGTTGGAGAAATAGGAAAGAATTATTTAATTAGAGCAATTGTTTTTAAGCTATCTGACGGAGATTTACAGAAAAAATCACTAGAAGCTTTTCTAAAAACGCAATTTTAATATTTCAGAAACAAAAAGCGGCAGGCTTCTACAGAAACCGTCCAGGAGACATCGACGTCTCGAATTTAGTGGTAATTCCAGATGCGCCGCGAACATCAGGGACTGATTACCCCAAGAACTGGGACTGGAGAATCCTAGAATCCCAGGGTACAATGCGTTCAAAGAAACGAAGCAGCAGTGACAGCGCGATTGGAAGCGCAGAAAGCGCAACCAAAAGTGAAGAAAACTCGGAAATGATTGAGGTATGATCTTCTTTTTACTTCTTAGTTTACAAGATTTGTGTGGATTTTGTGTGGGTTTGAGTTTGATTGTAAAAAGAATGGAAATTAAGAAAAATTTACTAGAACAGGAGGGCGAGGAAGCTGATGAACCACCAACTGAAGATGATCCTGACGAAGCTGAAGCTGAACCTGAAGAACAAGAAGAAGAAGAAGAAGAAGAAGCAGAGCCAGAAGCTGAAGAAGAGGAAGAACCAGAACCTGAACCTGAACCTGAACCTGAAGAGGCGGAAGAAGAACCAGAACCAGAACCTGAACCAGAAGCTGAAGAAAACGAAGAAGAAAAAAATGAACCAAGCACTGGGGATTCAGGTGTTGAGGAAATACCCCCCGACGAAGATCAGGTGCGATGAAAATCCACCCGATTACGACCTAGCGTACTCATGATTACAAATAATTACAATACTACTTAAAAACAAATATGAAATTATTGACACAATTAATGAATAAATAAACATTTATCGCAACAGAACCAGTTTGTAGATAATTGATTGATTAACGAACTGGAGATCCACAACCTTTAGAACCACCTTATCAACATAATTCAAAATTCACAAGGCATATAATATTGCAACCCCTGTATTATGTGAAAATTCATACCGATCGATAGAACATAGAACATGAAACAAAAGTAGCATAGACATTCATGACACATACATGCATTCTAGACACTATATGTCATGTCACGTGTGTAGATCAAATCAAGATCGCGAAGACGATATATAGTTTATAGGCATACAGGTGTATGCTTTTACAAATAACACCTATCCCTATTACATATCGATTCCCGGTCACACATGCGCAAATAATGCTCACGCTTTAGTATCTTTTCTGGTTTGTGCTCCAGGTTATCGTTGGCGAGCATGAAGAACTGCCTGAAGTGGAGCTTAACGACGCGGGCATGCCCGAAGATCCAGAAGTTGAAGATCTCCTGGTGAACGGAAATATGGAGCAATTGGCGTCCTTGGTGCTCAATGGTGAGGGGAGTCGGCTTCTTGGCAGGCAATCGGGAAATCCGGATCTTCAGGCTTTTATTGACAATGTTCCTTCTTATATTGTATGTATTCTTCATATTTTGATTCTAATTTTTGAATTTTTACGATTGTTGTCTTTTGCAGGGAAAAATTCACGCGGTTCACATTGCAGCCAAAGAAGGCAATTTGAGAGATCTTCAAAATGCCTTGGATAGACGCAAATTTGCTATTGCGAGGGACAATGCTTCGCCTCATGGTGCTACCGCTCTTCATGTCGCGATTGTTTTTGGACACACTGCTATCATAAGGTATCTGTAATAAAAGTTTTTTGATGATTTTAAAATATTTGTAAGGTCACAAGTGTGGTTTTGATTTTTTGGATTAAATTTAAAGGATTTTTTGCTTTTTAAAAGAAGAAATGGTCAGTTTTGAGCTGTAAATATCAGTAGGAACTGTCATCATCATTCAAAAGCTTAATAAGATAAGAAATCACGAGTCGCTTTATGATTAATTCATTTTAATGCATATTTATAAACAGTTTAACCTTCTGTTAGGTAAAACTGACGATGGTATCTCTTCCATATCGATCGTCAGTTTCCGACGTATCTATCTCGTACATTATTTTAACCTTTTTTCCATAATACGGCGTATTTGTCATAAAAATTTTACTTAAATCAATTATTCATAAAAGATGAAATTCAAATTAATACTTTAACTAAACATTTTGGAAATTGCAATGAAAATGTCATCTTAACTAAGGTAAAGTCAACCCAGTAGTTGAACAGGTTTCAACGTAAAACGTATTTGACCCTACTTTTGATATATAAAGATGTAATTATTAGTTCAAATTGCCGATTTTCATGAAAATATAAACAATTTTGGATCAATTGACGCGCAAAATAATGGAGGTAATTGAATAGTTATATTTTGACAACATTTTTAAGATAGACTATGGAAGAAGTAGTAATTGAACAATCAATTCTGACAAGCCGTAGTAGTTGAACACTCCGGGAGCAGTAGTTGAATTAATAAAAAATGTCTGGCAATAGACACAGCAAAAATTTTAAATTTTTTACTGAAATATTCAAAGAATTATAACATTTTATTGAATAATATGAAAAATAATACTATGAATATTTAATATATTCATTTAAAAATGAGAAATATTTGTATTTAATTTTTTAATTACATTTTTTATGAATGACAAAGCAAATTTTAAACTATAAAACAAAAAAACTCAATTCAAAACATTTAATAATTTTTAACTACACTAATTTTTAGCTATAAAACTTATTAAATTTGCAGTAATTAATACAAATCACAATGCTGATCACTAGTCTATAAACCTATTAGAGATTAGAGTGCTGTTAAAATTATACGGCCCCAGCTTGTTCAAGTTCTGAGTATCGCTTTCAAAATTTCGAGGTATAGTTAGACGCTAAAATTTAATATAAAAATTATAGTTTATGTCTTTGCAAAAAATATGGATTCTTTAGAAAAGGCTATTTCATTGGGTGGTACAATTTTTAACTTCCCGCTAAAAATCTGAGATTTTCAAAAATCGGAAAGTTATTGTTTTCACCCCGTTTTGCAAAAATCGAGTTTTCATCAGATCTCGACGTTTTAAGGTCATAGGAAGCTTCCCTAACTACCCCCGCGGTGGTGTCTGTATGTATGTATGTGTGTGTGTGTGTGTGGATGTATGTAAACCTCTAATAACTTTTGAACGGCTTGACCGATTTGATCGAGGTTGGCGCCATTCAAAAGGGCTTGACCAAACTTAGACTTTGTATATACTTTGGAACGATTCAGACCGGTAGATTTTGAGAAATCGCAAAAAAACTACAAAAAATAATTTTTTTTAAAAGTGGTTTTTTTGGAATAACTTTTAAACGGCTTTACCGATCAATTTCAAAAACTAATCAGCTCTTAACATCAAAAAACCACGTCGATCGCCGCCAGTCCGGTCAAAATCGGTTAATTCGTTCGTGAGTTATCGTTGACGAAAGAAAACCGAAAAAATCGTTTTTTCGGAATTACTCCGAATTTTTCCACTCTGTCAATATAAACTTAAAGGTTTTTCATTAAGCTTAAGAAACTGCGTCGAATGCCACCAACCGCGTGAAAATCGGTTCATTCATTCAAAAGTTATTGCAATTTGAAAATTAAAAAAATAGTGTTTTATCAAATTTCTATCAAACTTTTGAGCTCGAAGAGCTCAAAAGCATACAAAAGCTATTTTTTTGAGCTCGGAGAGCTCAAAATAATACATAAATTTTATTTATGAGCTCGAAGAGCTCTAAAACGTCATAAGTGCAATTTCAAGCGTTTAGGTATAAAATTGGCGGGAAGTTGCAGGGATGGCCTTCAGGGTCAACCGAATTCCTACTTTTTTTTACTTAAAATGATGATACACCGTTTTTCTTACTGATTGTTCGGCTTACGGTTTAATACCTTTTTCATGAAAAGATAGGATCGATCGGCTATTCTCGACATGTCAACTTTTAAGTTAACAAAAGTATAATTGCTTTGATTTATAATTGAAAAAACTTACAGAAATCAATTACTGTATCATTGAATAATTATAACATGCGCATATTACTTATAATAAATATACGGATTTTGTATTACAACAATTCGAAAAGTCTGTTCAAGTACTGATCCCATTTTTATAAGTGTTCAAGTACTGGGTACTTTACCTTATCTAACATAGTAATGATTACCATTATAAATGAATCTCAATTTTTCAGATTTTGTCCCCAATATTAAAGCTTAATCTCAACATTTTTCATTGCCATTTCTTCTTAGATACCTAGCAGGAAGATTCCCAGAAACTGCTCACGCAGTAGATGTAGATGGACGAACTCCTTTGCATTACGCAGCGACTTTAGCAGATAATGGGCACTATTACAACCTACTCCTCCATTTGGGCGCCAATCCTCTCACCAGAGACAACGTAAGTATTATCCAACATACAAACCAAATCTAAAAAACCTTTCTCAAATCTATTTGCCCAAATTATTTCCCAGTTTGAGCAAAAGGCCGAATACTACCGGACCAACCAAGAAGACCTATCGCACAAACGGCTCTTACGGGACTTTGGCGCCCGCGAAGAACTTGCCGATGAGATGCTTTCCGACAAAGGTAAGATTCCATTGAATCAATTCTAAATAAATAATTGCAAAATTGTTCAGACACCCTCTACTCACACTAAAAATTCCAAAGCTCACTGAAATTCACAAAAATCCTTCACAAGCAGATCCTAAAAATCTAACACCGTAATCTGCCCCCTGATAGTTGCGGGCGGCGACGTATACTCCTCACGACGCGACATTAACGAAGCAGACACCCTGACAATGTTGGAGCGGTGCTTCCGTCTGCTAGTGAACAATCGGAGGAACTCGATCCCGAACACTCCGGCAGCAAATGCGGGTACAATGCTAGGCCGTTGTATGAAACGCCCAATATTTGACAAAATAAAGCACCGTGTGACTCGCATGGACCACAATCTGTTTGACGTAATATGGCCGTCTTTGCAGAAATACCAAACGCTTAATAACAGCAACTATAACCACTATTCCCAGAGCAGCCAAGCATCTAGCGCCCTTAGCAGCAGATCCATGGCGGACATCGACAGCGACTTGGACATGGTCGTCGTCGCTCCAGATTTCGAGAGCTACTACGTTTTTGCAGAGCTCCTGGACCCGCTGATCAGGAACCTCCACTGTGTAACGACTACAGGAGAGCTTCCTGATCAGCCTGACCCTAGTTTCTTCTCCGAGGATTCGGAGGTTGATGAGAACGCTAATATCAGCGAAAATATCTCGACTATCACTGGATTCGACATTGATCCTAGTGGGAAGTATATTTCTGCTGGAACTGTCGACGCCTGCAGGAATCTCGAAGCTTTCTCGCTCCCTTTGACGCTGACCATCAACCAGCTGGAAGAAACTGAGAAGCAGATCACTGGGGTGCTGATCAGCGCAGAAGTTTCCTTGGTGATGGCTGAAGGCAGCAGTGAGGATGAAGGAGGAATTTACTACACTTTAAACGAGGTCCTAGAGCGGCCTAGTGACATCAGAATGCGGCTGGCTGCTGCAGGACTTCTCGTTCCGATCAATGAAACTGAGGCCAGTGATGAAAAACGGATGCATGGACGACACTGGCCGTACGGTCGAGGTGTCTACGTTGCCAGCGCTGGAGACCTAGCTGTCTGGGTTAATGTTCAGGATCACATCAGGATTATCGCTTGCACTTCTGAGAACAAGCCGGGACAAATTGGCAAGGCCTATGTTAGAATTGCTAAAGTCTTGACGATTCTTGATAAGAAGCTCAGGTTCAAGAAGGACAAGAAATTGGGGTTCCTCAGCGCCAGACCTTCTGCGGTCGGCAATACGCTCAAGTTTAGTGTTATTATTAAATTGCAAGGCTTGTCGAGGAAAATGGATCACTTGAAGGAACTCTGCATTGTTCGTGGTCTCAAAGCTATGGAAACCATGCGCAGCGACACCTTCCGGATCAGCAACCAACAAAGTTTGAGTATCACTGAATTGCAGACCTTACAGGACTTTATTAATGCCGTTGTCAGTATTATTAGTTTGGAAAAGGAAATGATTTTTAATAATTCGATGAACATTGCGTCGCTTATTGTTAATATGTTCAGGAAGAAAAGCTCCGCGCGGAAATTTAGGAGTTAGTGCTTGAAGCAATAAATTTGTAATATATGAGTTTATGGAAATTATTTTGATTGGATATTTGTATTTATATTGATGTTAATTAATCTTTAATTAGGATAATTTATTTTTTTATGTTAAATTTTAATGTTAGGTATCTCACTTGAATAAATGGCTGTTATTTATATAATTATGGATATCTGTGATAATTTAGTAGCTCAATTTTAATTATATTTAAGTATTATTGTTAATTATCTTAAGGTGTGTTAATATAAGTTAGATTATAATTATGATAATAATAATAATAATATTGGAAAGATGCGAATATAATTGAAAAATTCAAGTATTTAGTTAAAATGGCGGCGATTGTCCACTGGATTTTATTTTGGGTTAGTAATTGTTGAAAATTTAATTTTCTTTTATTTTTTAACGCTATTTTTGAAAAATTGTAAAATTTTATTAAGAATTGTAAATTTTACTTAAAATAATTGGTTTTTTATTGAAAAAATATTGAACTTTGAGAAGCGGCATAATCTTAAAATTGTGTCGTCAAATAAATATTTGGGAAGAAATGTTTAAGGTACTACCGCAGATACTACAAGTGTCAAATATTCCATACAAAGCCATATTTGATTTACGTAGTTGATTTTTCTATGCAAAGCCGCATTAGAAAAAAAAGAGATCATTTTTGAAAGATTTTTATTAATTATTACTATTACATGCTCTGAATCTGTATTTTTAATTACGCAAAGTATTCTATATGTTTTTTTTTATCACCTAAATTTTTATCAAAATTTGAGCGTCACTTTTAAGAAAATAAAATAAAAAGCCATTTTTTATAAGAGTTAATGATTAATTCTAAAACTTTTAATGCTTAATATTTTTTTAAGCTTTTCAAAAATTTAGTGGGTGTATTATTTTACTACACATGTAGAAAAGTTAGCTTCATTCAAGAAAAATAATTTTATAAGGAAAATAAAAAAATTTCTTGAGTTCAGAGAAAAAATTCTTGGTTAAAAAAAATTTTCCTAGCTCAATGAATTTTAATATAAACAAATCTATTGAATGAACATTTTTATTTAAAATTAACATGGATGAAAAATTCCAGTTAAGATTTTAGATTTTAATGAAAATTGAGATTAAAATTAAATAAAATATTAAATATTTTTCATAATTAAAATTAAAAATTCAGAACATTTGATAGCAATAATAAATACAAAAAAATGATCAAATAAGATTTTGTACATAGAAAAAGAATCTTACTTGAATCAAGTAAATAATTTTGAAGAATTTCATTTTCTTGATTTGAGTGAAAAAATTCTTACACTAAGAAATTTTTCTTAGTCTAAGTAAATTTTACTTAATTAAAGAATTTTTCATCTTGATTCAAGACAATGAAACTCTTCAAAATTATTTTCTTGGTTCAAAAATTTTCCTCTTGATTCAAGTTAATTTTTTTTTTCAGTGTATTCAATATTTGACTCTTGCAGTATCGTTAATGTTACTTTAAAATCTTTTATTTTTAAAAAAGTTTTATAAACTTGAGATTAAAAAACAAAAATGATAGATAGATTTATAATATTTATAAATATAGCGTTAAAAATAGAATGCTTTAATTGTTTGGCACGAGTCATTGTCACAAGAAGAAAAAACAAAACGCACATATCTTTCCAACATTGTTGTTATTGTTCAATCATCTAAATTTTGTACAAGCTGAATACATTTAACATTTGTATATCTAATCAACAGGCCAGTTCTCCAATTACTCACTAAAGAGTAACGATATCACGCTTATGTGTTTTGCACGATAAAAATTATTGAGCTTATGAGCTTGCAATGTGAAGCTTGTCTGCTCCGAATTTAGTTTTACTTACTGAGTTTAGCTGGTATTATTCAGTTATTTTCTAATTGCCTTTTCTTTGTTTTAGATAGCGGTGATGATTTTCCAATATTTCGTAAAGAAGACGGACGTTATTTAGCTTCCTGTAAGTCAATATTAATTTATTCATTTCTTCTTTTTATACTGGTCTTGTATATTAATAATTATTCATTAATAAATTTATTATTTAACAGCGTTGGGTACACCGTTAATTAAAGGATTGACTGAAGTAGTTCACAAGCGTCCCAAAAATCCAGTCACTTACTTGGCGACATATTTGAATAATTTTGCAACTCATGCAAATGGAAACGAGTATTCTTCTCCGGTAATATAAAAGACAAAAATAATAATAAATATCCAATACAAGATTAGTAGGCACGCAGTAGCCTATCGGACCCGGCCCTTGCTTACCAAAGCATTGGACCGGGTTCGAGTCCGGCGTACACCAATGAATATTTTCAATATTTAAGTGTATTATTCCAACCTCAAAAGTTTACTCCCTACCGTAGTCGCTCATGACCTTAGTAGTTTATGCAACTTAAAACAAATAAAAAAAAAAAAAAAAATTGGTATTGACATATTGTAGGGTAAATGCACCAATTATTAAGGTACCGATTAAGGTTTTCTTTTTCTGTATTAAGCTATAGAAAATCTATTAACCTACTAAAAACAATTTGTAATGGATTTTATTAAAGTTAAATACTTAATTAATAATAATTAATAACTATTTATAATAAAAATTAACAAAATTATATTAATTTTGTTATTTGAATTTTGAAATACTAAAATCACCAATTATTGACCGAAGAAACCCAATAAATGACCGACCGTTCTCCAATTAATTGACCGCTGAAATAATTATAAGTAATTTTCTAAACTACATGTATGTAATTAAATTTATGCAGTACTTTTGAAGTATTATAACGACATTTAACAAAACTAAACACACAATATAATTTTAAATCGTACTTTTTATAAAATAATATAAATAATAGCAACAATTAACATAAAGTCACATTTCTTTAGATCACAAATAATCACAAATTCATTTTAATGACGATAATCCTTCTGATTAACTTGAAATTTTTTTATTCTTCTCCTTCCCGGGAAAAACGGATTAGATCTGGCTATATATAAACAGATCTGGCCAGATCATTAAATTGTCTCTATCTGACGAGATAAGTATTAATGACATCTTTAACAAAACTAAACATAAATAATAGCAATAATTAACATAAAGTCCCATTTCTTTAGGTCACAAATAATCAAAAATTCATTTTGATGACGATAATTCTTCTGATTCATTTGAAATTTTTTTATTCTTCTCCTTCTTTTTTTTAATTAAAGCTTTTTTACTAGCTTGTAGCTCTTTTTTATTTTTTTAAAATTGCTTAGCAATTTTTTCTTCTAATAATTCATTCTTTGATATAACCGTTCACTAAAAAAAATTAAAACAAAATAAAATTTAATAATCAAAAAAGATTTTAAGTATTATTTTAATTATAAATATACATTTTATAATGATTATCTTTATATTTACAAAATATTTAATGACTAAAGTACTTTAAACACTTGACAGATTTAATTTTGACGTTAAGAAGTTAGTATTATAAATATACGGTCATTAATTGGATTGTGATAAAATCAGAGGGTCTAATAAATGACCGAATGAATTTTTTTACTGGGTAAAGGGCTTCTGACGGATCCAACAGTTGACCGGTCTTAAAATAATATTAAAACTTATAATTTAACTTTATTTTTTCAAAAAAGTTGGAATCTGATCTTTAATTAACATAATAAAACTAAAATATTTTATATTATGCCGATAAATATCACTAAATTAATGATGAAATGCACTCACTCTCCAATTGTACGCTAGTTATTTTTGACCGCTTTATGGCTGGTTGCGTTGTAAACAAACTCAGAATATTTTTTTAAAGCTATAATCACTGCGCAATTAATTGCGTAATTTTTTATTATGATGATTAAATGCCATATATTTTTATTTTAATACTTTAAGAAAAAAAAAAACCCTTGTAAAATATTAATTGGTTAACTTTTTTATACATCGGTCAACTAATTGGTGACCGGTCATCAACTGGTGCATTTACCCTACCATGCTGTCGTAGCAGTTGCAATTGTTTGTTGATTTAAATATCATAAGTACTATTAATCATTTTCATAATTACCTACTACTTAATTATATAATAATTTGTTGTAATTTTTAAATAGAGTATAAATACTTAACAATAATAATAATCATACAAATACCAATCTTGTATCGAATAATAATTATATTAATAAGTAATTGATTTTAATAACTTACAGAAAAGTGATCTATTGATAATATCTTCTGAAGAAACAACTGAAGAATATGACCTGAACAGCGGTAATTTAGATGATGGATATCCTAAAAGTCCAGAGTCTTCAATATTGCCGGAGTCTGCATTCATGGAGACTTCTAGAGTAAGTTAACTAAATATCCTAATAATTACTTTTTTTATCAATTTAATATTAATTGTTGTTTTTATTAAACAGGATGAGCATGGTCAAAGTTTGATCCACTACTCTGCAGTGAGAACTCACCCCAAAAACGGTTTCTTCCATCTTTTGCAAGAGCGACAAATAAATATTGCACTGAGAGATGAGTTGTATCGCACCGCTCGAGATGTCGCTGAAGAAGCTAATTTTTATGACAATATTGAAGAAATAGATCGGTTTGTTGTCTATTTATCGGCGCGAGGTATGATAAAACATTAAACAATATCATGAGTTCATAATTTTTGTAAGTTAAGAAGTCTTAATCATTTATGTAAATTATTATTGAATAATTCTAATTTTAGGAGAGACGGATAAATTAGTGGAACTATTACTCGAAGGATACGATCATATTCTAGACACTGAAGATGATGGGGTTAATATTCTAGATATTACTGCTGAGCGAAATAAGCAATCTACTGTTCAATTTTTGCAGACTATTGAAAATTATGTCGTAAGTTAAATATTTTTTTAACAAGTCATAAATATAAAATTATTTTTTTTTTAATTTTCACTTGCACTAAGAAAAAATTTCTTAAAAAAAAAAATGAGAAATGTATATGACATTAAAGTTAGTCGTCACTAGAGAACTTTTTAATTTTTTTTAACAAATAAATTTGTTCAAAAAAATTACTTTTAAAAAATTGCATTTTTTATTTTTTAAAATTTCTACATGTCAATTTTTTTTTCTAATTTTTTTTGCCATAATTTATTTAAAAAAAAAATTCTAAAAATTATTAAATATCTGCTAAATTTATTTTCATGAAATGTATGAAGAAATTAATTTATTGAAAATTAATAAAAGAAATAAAAATAAAAAAAGAAATAAAATTCTTTTAAATTTTCAACAAATTAATTTCTTGTTCACAACAATTCATGCCATTTTTATCAAAAATAATTTTTTTTCGAAGTGTGATATAATGAAAATACATATGTCAAAAAAAAAGCTGCAAAATTTTTATAAATTTTTGTAATTAATTAGACACAAAGAGATGAATTGCATCGAGTTATACGAGGTGGAGATTTGGAGTCGACGCAGAAGATATTTCAGAAAAACGGCGGGGGCTCGACTTTATTCGCTATTGGTAAAAATACACTGGGAAGGTGTTCTTTGCATATCGCAGTACTAGGAGAACATGTCGACATCGTTCGATACATCGCTGAAAATTATCCTGAGACGCTTCGCATCGGGGATAATGTAACTATTCATCTAAAAAATGTTTAATAACTTTTTTTTTGCAAACTTGAAAAAAAAAATTGAGAAAGCAAAAAATTTAGATAATTATTAAAATTTTTATTGTTAATAAAAATAATTTTTTATTTCAGATGGAAAGAACAGCGCTGCATTATGCAATGGGTGTATCTTCTGTCGAAATATTAACAAGTATTTTGATAAAATGTGGTGCAAAACGTATACAAAAAGACATTGTAAGTTGTTTTTTTTAAACTAATGACAAATAAAACAATTTATAATTTTAGATAATCAATTATTATTTTATTTTTCAGAAATCACGTCAACCATCTTACTACTTCATGGACAAAACAGACATTCAAAGATTGCAGGACGAAGAACAAACGATGCCCAAATAAATTTTTTTCTACTTACTGAGTCATTTATCAATTAATTTATAATTTCATCAACTAAAAAGTTCAAGTGTTTGAAATTTTTCTGTATTAATAAAATTTGTGTACTGAAAAACTTATCTTTAATCCAAAATTTCTTCTGTAGTATCCAACCAAGGGACCGGATTCACGTACGGTGGAGTAGCTTGTTGATCAGCTGAAATCACAATCGCTAGCATAAATTTAATCAACTTTTATAGTCTGGTTAACAAGAGCAAATTATACGACCAGGTTAAGGCCTCCACCTAAAATAACGTTCGAGGTGTCATTTTGTGCGGATTTTTATGTAGATATGTTTTACGGTTGGTGCCATATCGCGCAAACAATTAGTTCAAAAGTTATAAACAAATTAGTAAAAAAAAAGGAGGGGGTTGGTTTTTTGCTAATATCTCGAAAAGTTTTTGAGATATCGCGAATTTGAAAAAAGATCCAAAAAGGGCATTAAATTTCCTAAAAAAAAGTCATATCTCCCCGGACTGTAGCACCAATATTAATAATTTTAATTGAGCGATGAAAATAGCGAAAAAATGCGTGACTCTGCGCGCGCACGCTTCGGTCAACTCGGACGCTTAAACAAAAAAAATTATTTTAACTAATTAAATATCGAAATTAAGGAATGAAAAAAATCAGACACATGCTGGATAGTTGAATAAACAATAATCTCCATTCAAAAAATTTTTATCCCAATTTTCTTCTTAATTATGTTTTTGTTAATTAACAAAATTTTTCAAAATGAAAGTAGATAGATAGATAGATAGATAAAGTAATTTATTTGACCTTAGAGCCTGGGCTCCCTCAAGGCCATCAAAGTTATATACAGTATACATTTTCATTTACAGTAATCTTATTAACAAATAAATTACTAATTATAATATAAGTATAATTTCCGAATAAATATAAATATAAATCTTGCATAGAGTTACATATGTAATTTAAGAATTAATTCAATCAAAATAAATAAATAAATAATACCAATGATGACATCAAAACGAAAATAGTAGAACACAATAATCATAACAAATACAATAATCATAATAAATACAATAATCATAATAATAACAGTGATAATAAATTCTAAAGTGGAGATTATCTAAACATCTTTTTCGAGAAGAAATACAAATAAGCGATTCTGAAATTCAGTCAAATCATCTACAGTTGTAAGCCCAGCCGGCAAAGAGTTCCAGACTCGTATGCCTTGAATTAGAAACGATTTATCGTAAATATTACTTGTAGACATTGGTAATCTCAAGTAATCCTGCCTAATATCTCCTCGGCGCATTGCAACCTCCAGGAACTGCAGCTTTGAGCCAAACAATTGACGATAATTTAACCGAATTTCTTTAAAAAATAGACACCCAATAAAATAATCTCTCCTTGTCCTCAATTTTAGCCAACCTAATTGTTTATAATATGGAGTTACATGTTCATATCGTGATATCTTAAAAATAAATCTCACACACGAGTTCATTTTTCTTTGTAGTCTAATTAGTAACTTTTTAGACATATTAGTAAGTGCAGCACAACAATAATCAAAAATCGGAAAAATAATAGTTGTCACAAGTTTAACACGTAATTCCCTATTGAACACCTCATTGCTTATTTTTAACTGAGCCAACGAACTCATAGCCTGATTACACATCTTGGTAACTTGATGCTCCCATGAAAGAGTGCTATCAATAACCACCCCCAAGTATTTTACAGTTTTCACGTAGGGAATTACACTGCCAGCAACAACAATATTATCAGCAAATAAGCAAACATCACTGCTAACCTTTATTCTACTACCAATAATAATAGACTTTGTCTTTGATGCGTTTAATCTGAGGCAATTCAGCGTACACCATTCAACAATCCGCTCAATCTCTTCATTCAATCTAGCAATCAAACCATTGATCTAGTAAACCATAGATAAAGTAAACAATAAAACCTCGATAATTCTTAAACCGGAAGTCAAAAATTTTTTTCTTTTTTTTTGACTTGTTCGTTGAAGGCTTTAGAAAAGATCCTCGTTGGAAAAATTAAAAATTTTTCATTTTTTTACAAACAATTAAAAATGCTGAAAAATAGAAAACATAAATAAAACATTGAAAATTTTTTTTTTTTTTAAATCCCGAGTGATTCGGTTTTTTATTACTAAAAGCCATAAGAAAATAAATTTAAAAATTTTTTTACCGTAATTGTTTAAAAAATTGTTATAAACAAATGCGTTGTTTATAAGATAGTTGAAAATTTTTTTTTTGAAATATTATTGATAATCAAAATAATGATTTTTAAGATAAAAATCGTTTCTTAAAAAAATTTTTTTATTGCTTAAAATCGCATTTGTTAATTAACAATTTTTTTTTGCAAGTCAATATAAATATTAAGGAACCGTTTTTTTTTTAAATCATCATTTCCATTGCTCTTTCTGAATATAACAAAATAATTTTTTTACTTCAATTTTTTATTTGTTTTTTAAATAAACAATTTTTAAGAAAAAAAAATTTTTTATATTTTTTACATAATTTATAAAATTCTCATGCTTCGAACTTGCACTTTTTCCGTGTTTCTCATCCTAATAATTATTATTATAACTTATAAACTATCGAAGATACGACCATAACACTTCAAGTCTTTATTATTTACCATAAAACCATAAATAAATTAAGCTATAATTTTTAACTCTTCATCAATTATTTATTTAGTTTTAAGTAAATGTTTATTAATAAAATTTGAGAAAATTTTTTTCAATGCTTCAGCTCAATTATTTATTGACTTTTTTTAATGATTATTTATAAGACTAGATACAAATAAATATACGATTCAAAGGTTATCGAAAGAAATCAATTTAGGATTAATCCCACAAATTTATAGGATTAATGCTATAAATTATTAATCTTCTAAATTTATGGGATTAATCCTAAATTGATTTCTTCACACGCACACACACGCACACACATAGTGACACCCTCGCGGGAATAGTCAGGAAAGCTTCCTAGGACCTCAAAACGTCGAGATCGGATGAAAACTCGATTTTCGAAAAACGGGGTAAAACCAATAACTTTCCAGTTTTTGAAAATTTTCAATTTTCTTAACGGGAAGTTAAAAATAACTACTTAATTATAAAGAAATAATCTTGACCCAAGAAAATAGTATCCGGAAGTATAAGTATAGTTTATACTTACCTGTAATTTATCGATATTTTTAATAGTGAATAATTCGAATATTCTGATATTTTCGTCATAAACGATAAAAGAGTTTTTTAATTCAAAGAAGCCAATTAAAACTGTCAATTTGACATGATGAAAAATTAATTTATTAATTTATTAAGTAAGGTAAAAGACCCCATTAGTGGCACTTTTTCTTTCAATGAAAAAATGTTCTACTTGGAATAAAAATTGAAAATTTTTTGTATCTAAAAGTCTTAAAGATAAGAAATAATATATTCATTATTGAAATTAATGATTTCATTAATTGAATAAGTACCAAAATCAAAGAAAGTGTCAGTAATGGGGTTTTTTTACCTTATTTTTGGGAAAAAAATTGCATTTAATAAATATTTATTAACAGTTTATATATTTTGATTGATAAATAATCATAAATAATTTTAATTATTAATAAATATTGTTAGTTATTAATTGTTAATAAATATTTATTAAGTTTTCTAATTTTCTAATGCTTATTTAAAAAATAAAAACACACGAAAATAAATTTAATTTTTGTTTTATTGTTAACTTAAATATACAATTACACTTATTACTAAACTTAAATTAAGACTTATTTAAATTTTATTTATTTATTACATGTCTATTTCTATAACAACTATTTTTTACAATAATAAATTAATTTTTATTTAATAAAAATATTAATTTACAAAAAATCAACTTAATAATAATAATAATAATAATAATAATAATAATAATAATAATAAAACTTTAAGTTAAAAACTAAAAAATATCTAAAATTAAAAAAAGTACATAAAAAATTCTTATATTACATATAATTTAAACAATAAAATATTCTTAAAATTAATTCAATCTCCTCCGTTTTGTTGAAGATGATAGGTGTCCGCTGGAGGACCTGGAGCCTCCAGCCCTATGATGTCTTTTCCTCTTTTCAACATCCTTTGCTCGAAGATACCTTTCGAACTCTTCAAGCGGGTCATCGATTCCCCACGTATCTTGATGGTGGTTAGATGTATGGTACCCTGAATAACCATATACCTCCTGGTGATATGGTTCCTCTTCTAGATGTTGATGAGGAATAGAGTACTCATAACCACCATACTGATACCCTGAGATCTGACTATTCGAGGACGAATAGTACCCAGTATTTCCAACGATGCTCGGGGTATAGCTCGACAGTGGGAACCCAGTGGTATCCTGCGACGATGATGAAGATGGTGTTGGTGGCGACTCCGGTAAAGCCGTTGATGTTTCTGGTGATAATTCCGGCAAAGACCCAGATGGTGATGGTACTGGTGACTTTGATAATGGTGGACATGATGGTGGTACTGGCGAAGGTGATGGTGATGGTGATGGTGCCAATGGCAACGGCACTGACGATGGAGAAGTCAAAGATGGCGGTGATGGTGATGGTGATGGTGTCAATGGCAACGGCACTGACGGTGAAGAAGCTGAAGCTGGTGATGATGATGACGGCTGTTTCTTCATTCCAGAATAGGCCACATACTTCCCCGTTGAGGTTAGCATGGCTCCTGGGACTTCGGGGCTCTCGACCTCAGTCATCATGGTCTGAGGAATCCCCTTGGCCTTCTTGATTGAAGCCGGCTTTCCGTTGACCATGAATTGGCACTGGTACACCCAATGGGCCGGCTTCTGGTAGCGGCGGCAGATGTAGGTGGCAGGCACTGGCCCAATCTGCTTGTACGGCACCTTCAACCAGTTTGAAAGTGCATAGTCCTGCGTTGACAACTCCATCATTTTTTTTATTTTTTCTTCTTCGGTGCCCTCCATCTTCGTTAGGTCCACAAATTTGCGGGTGGAAGCAGCTGATTTTAATTGCTCGAGTTGCGTCTGGAGTTGAGCTTCCCGACGCTTCCACTCAAGCAACCTCTTCCTCTTCTGCATCTCGGTCTCTGAGATGATTTGTCACTTTAACACGATCTGAGTATTATGGATCACGGTATCCTCATCCTTGAACACCTTTCTTGTTTTTCGGTCCATTGCGATGATATCCCACTCCCGATCTTCTCGTGGTTTCATTTGACGGATGATGTCCGCCTTGACTCTCTCTATCGAGGTAGACACTCCATCAAAATCCACGTAGTAGGATTTTTCAAAATTTTTGAACCTACACTCCACAGACATTTTAATTTTTATTTCTTAACTTCAACTTTAAACACAATAAAAAAACGCAAACTGCACTATTAAGGCACTTGGAGATATATTTTACAATGAGCACGTTCGTTCGGAGCGTTAAATAATGATTAAAAAAAATCGTTCATCAATATTAATTTAAAGTATTCGAAAATGATTGCTAATTAACAACTGCATTTTTAAGCAATAAAAAGGATATTTGAAGAACGATTTTTCTTTAAAAATCATTATTTGTATTAAACATTAAAATTTCATAAAAAAATTTTTAATTATCTAATAAACACCGCATTTGTTTATAAGAATATTTTAAACAATAAGAAATAAAAATTTTTTAAAATTATTTCTATGCAGCTTTGGTTAACAAAAAAACGGGTTATTAATAATATTTGAAAAAAATTTCTTATATTTTATATTTAATATGTTAAAATTATTTTTATTAATAAAGTGTCCGAAGTAGGCGTGGCTTACGCAAGCCAAAACACCCATTTTCGGCCGTATTTTAATTCTTTTGGGAAAATTATAAATATTAATCCTACAGTTCCGGGAGATAGGACTTGTTTTAGCAAATTTTTTTCTTTTTTAAAATATTTTTTCAAATTTGGAAAATCTTAATTATTTTTTGAGATATTTGAAAAAAGCGAAACCCCCTTTTTTTTAGTTATTTGTTAATAACTTTTGCAATTTTTACAAATGTTTAAAATTTTTAAAAATTTACTGTAATTCGTAAATATAAATTTAAAAGTCCCGTCATAAATCAGATAATTCATAACTAATTGCTTATTGTAAGTATACCTGACGCCTCGACGCCTAAAATGCCTGTCTCGTTGAAATGGCACTTAATGACCCAAGTGATTTAAAGTAACTTCATGACAAATATTTTCAATATAATAGGTTGTAAAGTATTATGCGGCGCCTTTACAAGTAAAATAGCAATAACTTATTATATTCATTATATAGAATTAAACCAAATGTAAATGATAAGTACAAAGGATAAAGAGCAGTGAAAGAATCTAAGTTTTTGTGAGTACAAAATACCCTTAATGAGACTACTACTTAATAATTACCGTGTAAAGGATTTTTATAGAAGAAAGTTATAAATTTTCACCTAATTTTCATCTAATTTTTAGATTAAATAATAGCAGAGTCTAAATAAATGACAACGATGGTAATTATGATGCGATCATAATTGATGAAATACAATAATTATAATAAGACCAATGATAAAATAAATTACTCATATTATTTGTATGCATATCTATAATACTGGAATAACATCAATTTAAAACGGAAAAAAAATTTTTTTTTTAAGCCTTATCTACCCAATTTTTGTAAAGTTGCAAATAGTTGAAAAATAATATGTCATCAAGAAGTTTCACTTCTTACCTGTGTACTCTGATACACACACATACTTTTTTTTGGCTCTCAGACATGATTCTAGCATGAAAACAAAAATTTTGCTAACGATTTTTACCGTAAAGTAAAATTTTAAAATAAAAAAATTAATTTAAAGATGGGAGGGAGCAAAATGAGGTACGCCAAAAATTTAGTGAAATAATTTTTTCTTCCAAAAAACTTCTAAAATATTTGAAGATAAAATTAAAAAGAAATTATAGATACTTCTCCTATATTTTATGAGAATGGTTCCCATAATAGTATGGTCACTATTCCCATCATATGAGAATATATTCCATAATGGTATAAAGAAATTTATTCTATAATATGTAAAAAAAATCTTAATTAATATTGCTAGACAAAAATTTTCTTTGTTATGGGGTTATGAGGAAGTATTTGAGAATAAAAAGTTTGGAAAATCCAAATGAGCATGCCTTAAGCGCTCATATCATACATAAATTATTTAGATCATAACAAAAATTATTCGTTTTTAATTTGAATTTTCCCGCGAGTAGTATTATCCCCTCTGTAGGTCGAAATAAAGAAAAATTTTAACAGATGATAAAACAGTTAGTAATTATACCATCATGTATGTATAGTTTCTGCTTGTTTATAGTTATTTCAATTCTGTTTATGAAAAATAATATATATGGCTGCCGAAATCACAGAAAAAGTCACCGAACTGACAATCGAAAAAAATTAACTGTATCGAAACGGAATTATTTTGACACGCAATTTTCCTAAGGGTTTTGATAAACTTCCTTAGGAATAAAACAAAAAAAAAATTAAATCGTGAAAGTGATTTTTGACAAAGTTGTGGTGTTGTCAAGCCCATAGCTCCCGTGAATACCACGCTTTTATTCATTCAATTCATCAGAAAAACGGGTTTTTTCTGAAAAATCTTATTTAATCGATAACAAAATTTTTTTAATGTGTTCTATAGTTACTATTATTTATTTTAATATGCTTTTTATCCATAATTTTTTTCGTTTAAATTATGAAAATCACATTTTAATCGAAATCACGATTTTTAGGCGAGAGTAGAGCATACCTGCGCGCTTCGCGCTTAAGGCATGCAAAAATCAAAATAGTTAAGTTTAAATGGCTATGTTTTATTATTTACAATAAAAAAATTTTTATTAAGAAAATGTTTATAAATTAACAATATTTTTTTCATACATTTGTACAATTATTGACTCAACAATTTTAAGTCTGCGTTACTCAAATAATTAAAAATATTTCTTACAACTAAATCAGGTAAATGCATATAAAAAATCTCATATAAGTTTTCTGCATTTTTCACAAGCTCTTTTCTTTCAACCGCTCTTCGCAATTTTTGAACCATAAAATTACCATATAAAGGAAATTCAGTCAATATTTTTATTTCGTTAATACAATAATCTAAATTTGTTAATCCTACAGCTAATCTATGTAAGTTTTTTTCTAACACATTATAATAATTAAAATTTGTTTTGCTGATTCTATTGATTTTTAATTTGCTAATTTCTTTTTTGCATTTTTCACGGAATGATTTGAAAATGTCACCATCCACAGCTCTTAAATTTTTTTTATTAACAAATATATTGGCTGCGGATAACTTGATGATGTGATTCTCAATTACTTTGATAATTTCTAAAGATTGATTCTCTATCTGATTACGAAGTGTGTGATTAATATTTATCTCCATGGCGATATCAAGCAAACTGGAATTATCATAGTTAATCATATTGATGTTTGTTCCGCAGTCCAGTAAATAACGCAAAATATTAATACAACTAAACTGAACTGCCAAGTGAGCGACCGTATCACCATAGGAATCGGCAATATCCAAAAAATTGTCACAATTTTTAAAGAAAAAGTTTACAATGTCGATGTTATCATGCCGTATAGCTGCGTCAAACTCCAACGTGTAATCTTGATCCTTGATCACTTCAAATTTTGCTCCAAATTCCTCCAGAATCTGAAGAATGTCAACTCTGTTGAGCCTTGCAGCCAAGTGTAGAGAAGAGTGTACTTCGTCAGAACCTTGATCAATGATAGCGTTGTTATTCAATAGTAACTTAATTATTCGGATGTCCATTTTAGAAATAGCCAGGTTCAAAGCAGAAAAATTATAAGAAGCCCTGTTGAATGTAGCTTTATGAACTTCTGCATTTACCTCAGCACCTGACATAATCAGAAACTCAATGATATCGTAGTTCCCGTAATGAATAGCCTGATGAAGTGGAAGCGATGTCTCACAAAGATATTGTGTTGGGTTAATTTCAGCTCCAGAAATAACTAATTTCTTCACTACGTCAAGTTTTTGTTTCTTGATGGCTACGTCGAGCGCCGTTCCCAAACGTTCCGTGGTCTTACTCAGACTAATGTTATTTGCCAACAAGAAATCGATGAATCCATCGTCTGAATTTATAATGGCGAATTGTAGCACACTTATTTCATCGTACTGTTTCCAAGGAAACACCGAGTTGACACTAATTTCTCCGGATTTTACCAACTCCTGCACATTTTTAAAATCAAAAAAGTTGTTTGCCATTTTATTTTGATGAAGCGATTAAACAATATAGAATTTTATTTTTTATGTAAAACTTCGTTTTAAGTAAGAGTTTTGGTCTTGCACTCGGAGATGTTTGCACTTCAAAGTTTGACGTAAAAATGATTTGAGTTCTGAAAGCAATTCAAGAAGTTAACTTACTCGGCATCCCTTCTCCAAAAATTTATTAGGGTCTTACCCCCTCTTTCGGTAATCAGCGCTTGTCATTGGTTATTCTACTGTAGCCAGGTCATAATTAGCTAACTATGCTGGGTTATTTAATGACCTCCAAAGGTTGATTGTTACTCTTGAAAATTATGTTTTTATAAACTCTTAATGACATTTTAAGTGAATATATATTTAGAGCGAATAATCACTTTGAATTTGATGTCATAAAGATTATAATAAATCACTTCTTTTTGTGTAGATTTTTTTTCCAACTTGCCTATATGCACAGTACCTGGCGTACCTAAATAGTCTAGACAAATAATCAAATATCTACTCATTTAGTCCAATAATATCTGAAATATTCATGATCTACACTGATAAAAGGATTTGTTTGTATTTAATAAATCAATTTATTAAAATCTTTTTCAGATATTTTTTTGGTTGGAAAAAATATTTTTTTACTATTAACAATATTCGTTAATATTAACTAAATCTATTTTTTATGAGAACAAAATTTTTGTAACTATTAAGAAGCTTTAATGTATTGAAAAAAGTATTTATTTCCACCAAATAAGATTTGTTAATAGTTAACAAATATTTTGTTGGTGGTCACACTGAAAAAAAAGTTTTTTTCCTCCTAGGAAACTTTTTCCTGTGGTTAAAAAAAAAGTATTCCTAAAATAAGAATACCAAAGTTTACTATCCATAGGAATAAGTTTACTGGATATAAAAAAACTTGGTATTCTCATTATTAAAATACTAAAATCAATATGGCCGACTTAACCTCGCTTGGTCGACACGAATCTTTAGGATAGATAATTATGAGAAACTACACTTTTTATAATTCTTCATTTATAAACATTTATAAACAAAAGCGTTCCACATTTTTTAACAAATATAAATAATGCTGTGAAGCGGGAAAGAATAGGAGTTACGGATAATTAATACGTGAAGCGTTCCAACATTCACGTAACAGGATAATTGGTAGGAAAGGATTGAGAAAGGATTGTGGAGAGGATCATCTTAATGTGAGTGTATAGAATATGCGAGAAAAAATTATTAGATAGCTCGGACTGGGATTCGAACCCAGAACCTTCCGAAGACATGTCGGCTACTCTACCATTTGAGCTATCCGGTCTATACTAAATTTCCTTTCACTTATTCTATATACATTAAGCCACACCGTCCATCTTGCGGCTAGCATTTTTAACAAATATAAATAATGCTGTGAAGCGGGAAAGAATAGCCGCTTAATAAAAATTTTGATCACATCTAACTATACAAGTCTGATTAGATCTAATTATATAAAGACTCATTCATATATAATCTGATCTGATCATATATAGACATATATGGATTATACATGGGGTTATAAAAGCCAAGTATGATTATATCCGAAAAAAAATTTTTATATATATGTTAATTATATATAAGCATATATAATTATATATACTTATATATAATTAGATATGGGACTATGTATAATCTTGCATGGCTGTATATTGCTCCATATATAGTCATATATAATTATATAATGATTATATATAATATATGACTTCATATACAATTCCATATATAATCATGTATAATTATATATAATTTTATATAATTATATATGTGATTCCCTATATAATCATATATGATTATATACAATTATATATGATTATATGGAAAAATTTTTTCTAGGGTACATGAATTAAACGACTTGAAAATATTGTAGTACAAAACTAGATTTTGTTTCCCATAAAATTCTGAAAAATTACTAAAATGGTCTATAATATACATTTTAAGAAATATGAATAAAAATACTAAATTCGATAAACAAAATGACTAAGGTAGTACCTCCACGAAAAGCATATTTCAAGAAACTTATGGAATTTTTTTTATCGAAAGATAAATATATTAATAATGGAATTTATTATGGAATTATAAATCTTACGGAATTTTAAATCTTAATTTATAATTTACGATATAGTTTATTTTAAATCATTTAATTCTAACTCAAGGGCTTTAAAAGCGTATTCTTATTATAATTGGCCTTGTTTAAATCTCAATGTTTAAATTTTATTAACTAAGTTCTATTATCTAAATCATATTAACTTAATAAATCTAAATTTTAGTATATCAAATAATTCAAAAAATCTCAATAACTATAAACCATAACTTATATCCGAATATTACAAATAATTATTCGACTGAATATTTTAATGTAGCCTTTTATATATTTATATTTTGTATTTTATATAATTTTAAGTAACTTTGTAAATAATCTAATGTATACTTATATTCATACACATTTCAAATGTAATTTAAATACCTTGCCATTCGGCCTGTGCCTTGGCATTTATCATGAATAAATAAATAAAATAATTCACTATCAAAATTTCAGATCAATTCACCGCACCGTTTTTGAGTAATTAATTTTCGAAATTGCATCTTTTACACGTAGAGGTATAGAGAGATGGTAAAGTTAGTATAAAATCTATTTGCATCATTCGAGTGGTACGGAAGATTTCATACTAACTTTATCATCTTTCTATACCTCTACGTGTAAAAGATGCAATTTTGAAAATTAATTACTCAAAAATGGTGCGGTGAATTAATCTGAATTTTTTGTGGTGAATTATTAATATATTTATCTTTCGATAAAAAAAATTCCATAAGTTTCTTGAAATACACGGAGAGAAAAGAATAGATCTGATTCCAATGTAGAATGGTAATCATTCCTATGTTACATAGAAACGAGGATTTTTTAGCGATGAGAGTCTAGTGGCAAAGTAATCCCCCCCCCCACTCTAAATGGTAACGTTGGCTATGCTAGCATAGGAATGATTACCATTCTACATTGACGAGCGGACTATGTAAATGGACGAGATTACAATTTTACCTAGCAATATTTGCTATGTTATTTATGTAACATTTAGTGAATAAGGTTATGATAGAATCCGTAAATCAGGTTATTTAAAATACACATACATAAATTACATTAATTCATTGAAATAATTAAATGAGCATTTATAATGAAATATAATTTCCTGATTGAAAATTAATAATAATTCAATTAATTAAAATGCTTTGTAATAAACAATCAAAATGTAATTTATTGGAATTTCAACTTGCTCAATAACTTAGATTAAAAGTAAATCAGAACATAAAACATATTTTTTTAATAATCATTAACTTTTAACAATAAAATTACAATTATTATATAATTTTCTAATTATAAATTAATAATAATTAAATTAATTAAAATGCTTTGTAATAAACAATCAATAATTTATTTGTTAGAATTACATTTTGGCCAATTATTATTTAAATGTTCAAATACTTACACTTCGATCAACCATTATTTACTTTTTATTAAAATCAATTTCTTAATTTAGTTTGTAGATTTAATAAATTTTTTACACAAAATAATAAAATCATAAACAAAGGAGATGACGCCAACTTTCGCACATACATAAACACATACACGCATGTTACTGCGCAAACTTTCGCGCATACTATAGCATGTATATTTATTAAACTGTAGGGACAGCTATTCTAGCATGGGACTCATTACCAGTCTACATAGCTCTGATTCCCGTGCAGACTAGCGATATTTACCATTTCACTCGTTTCAATGTAGCATAGTAATCATTACCAGAAAAATGGTAATGTATCCTATTCTACATAGCATCATTTACCATTTTACTGAAAATGAGCCTGGTTACCATGTAGAATGGTAATAATTACTATTCTTTTCTCTCCGTGTATGCTTTTCGTGGAGGTACTACCTTAAAGGTGCTTTTTCATGCTGACGCTTGACGCTGATTTCCAGCGTCAACTATCGTCAGGTGACGAGATTTTGACATCTACGCCATCTAGAAAAAAAGTAGCGATAAATTACAGCATTTAGCGTCAAATTTAAGCAACAAGTAGGATGTTATTTTTTTTTCAGAGCCCCGACAATTCTGGCTCATTATTTTATAATTACAAAAACTTTCACAGTATTGTACTGATTGGAATATGTGATGCAAATTATTCGTTTATATTTGTTGATATTGGTGCATACGGTCGGCGTAGTGATGGTGGTATTTTTCGTGATTCTCAAATGGGTCAAAAATTTGAGAATCGTGGAATGAATTTACCGGAAGCCGAACTTCTTACTATTGATGGTATGCCTTTACCATATGTGCTAGTTGGTGACGAGGCATTCCAATTAACAGATTATCTACTCCGGCCGTACCCTGGTAGAGGTGGCCTTAATAAAGAAAAATCTATCTTTAATTATCGACTCAGTCGTGCTCGACGAACTATAGAAAACTCCTTTGGCTTACTAGTAAGTTTATGGAGAATCTTAAAGAAGCCAATTGAAGCTAGAGTGGACAATACTGTCAACATAGTGAAAGCGATTATTTGTCTTCACAATTGGCTTTGTAAACAAGATGAAGAAAACAACTACATACAAGAAAATATGGTAGATCGCCAGGGAGAAAATGGTTTTATTCCAGGACGCTGGAGGGATGAAGTTGGAGAACATTCAGCACTCCAAGATTCAAGAATGTATGGAAATCACTATAGTTCTCGAACTGCTGTAACAATTCGCGACAAATTTTGCGACTATTTCAATGCAGAAGGCGCTGTTCCTTGGCAATATAATTGAAGATTAAAATTGTTTATAAAACTTAAATTTTAAATTATACAAATAACTTTCAATAAACATAAATTTTCTTATTTCAATACTATTTTAAATGTCTATTCTTTCACATTTTCGTTTTGTAAATATTTCATGATGATAATAACTACTATAACTATTATAAGGGTCAAGTAACAGCTGAAATAATCATATTATTTGTTATAAAAATTACATTAGATAGTAAATTTTATATTATGATTAAATAATTTTTTTTTTCTTTCATGTTATCTATCACATACACTTACTTATTGATTAATGTACTTGAAAGGTTAAATTATAAACAACAAATATATGATAATAAATATGTTTTTTTTTATTGTGGAAGCTATGTAATAAAAAAATAAAACGAACTGAAATCAGTGATACAGCTTAGTGTTACGCTCATTACTATTTATTGCAATTAATATTGTGTATTTTTTCCTTGCTATCATTATTTTAATTTATTTCTTATCATCACGTAATCATTATTATCCCGTAATTTTAATCACGTAATCAGTGAACATCTCAATAGCTATTTATTACTGAATCGTAATCGATGTCTGTAATTGCTTAATGATCTCCATTTGTTTTGGCTGTGGTAACAGTCGTATTTGGTTGCCTATACCAATGAGAAAAGCACCAACAGTATCCATTTTTGGAGGTTCTGGCAGTGTTAAGGGCTCACTGTCGCGACACAAGGCGTCGGCTATTCGATTCAAAGCGTTCGCTGAATCCATTACATCATCCTTGTTAGAGCGTCGTCGCTTTCTGCCGTTGCTTGGGACTCCTGAAATCGATAAAAATAAATTAAATTTCGTATTACAATAATTCAAATCTATCTATGTGTTGATGTTGATGCAAGTTATAATTCGCAAGACTCTTCGTTTATGGAAATGAATTCCATTAATACATTCAAAAGTCTGATATACGTACCGCAAGTTTGGTTGTTTACAAGATATTCATCGCCAGTTTCACTGTGAAACTATCGTCAATTAATGAGTCCATATCAGTATTTCCATCGTCTTCAGCATTTCCATCGTCTTGTCTTACATTACTGACTGTTCTGGGAGACCAGAAAAATTTAATTATTTACGATCAGAGACCAAAATAAATTTCAATTCATGTACACATGTACAGAATTAACGAAAAATTCATATTAAATTCAAATTTAATATTAGATTACTTACTCCCTTATTAAACAAGTATCCCTTAGGAACTCACAACAGTGGTAAAACTTCCATTTCTCTGAAGACGTTACTGCAGCTGAACCACTAGCGCGATTTTCAGCTTGAATAATCTTTCGGTCGGTATCCCGTAAGTTTTTGAATTTAATTTTAGCTTCCGCGGCACTTAATTTTCCTAATAGTAAACATTTAAATCTATAAAATTCTTGCTTGTATTGTCTTTTCATAACAGCTAGCATTTAAATGTCGTGAAATAACAACTACATAAGATATAATATTTTTTTACCATTCAGAGCTGCTGATATTTCTTCCCAGAGCTTAGCTTGAATTTCTCTTGAACGTTCTTCCACTGGAATATTGAAATTCCACAAAGGGATTCTGTGTTGAACCTCAATAATTAATTGTTCAGTGTATTCGTCGCTTAATCTTTTTCGACTTGTTTTCGGAGTTGTTTGCTTGCGTTGCTTAGGTTGTTTTTTAGTGGCTAACGGAGATTTAACTGAAATATATAATAAAGAAAAAATAAAAATATATACTACAAAAAAATGTGAAACTCATCTTCATTCAGTTACTGTTTCATATACAAATAAAAATACTATTGAAATATTACTGACATGAATTTTGACTAGTATTTTCTTTATTAAAATAAATGGAATCTTCTATCAGTCCTTCACTTCCATCTGGAAGAAGTGCTCGCCGTATGATCGTTTCCTTGTCGTCTGTAAATAACATATGTATAATTTTAAACAGTTGTTTTATTTTTTATGTTATACTAAAATTTGTAATTACTAACTTAAAAGCGGATAAAAATAGTAATTATCATCCAAGTGGAGATCTCCATAATCTTTTACGCATGGATGATTCTGATAGTCATCGCATGACATTTCACAAATTCCACATGTAAAGTGAACATTTACTTCCTATATTAAAACAAAAAGTTGAAATAACAAACATTTAAAGAATTTTTTCTTTCTCTTACTTAATTAATTTTTTTTCATCAAAACATATATATTGGTTATTTAAAAAATAATCAAGTCTTTCATGTATTATTCAACTGCTACGTTTTTATTTATGTTTTATATTTGTTTATAATTTTAAATATTTATCTCAAAGCTCATGGTTAATATTTTAAACAATCACCGTAGTTGTTAATATTATAATTTATAGTTTAAAACAAATGTGACTTTCCAATATTTATTTATTATTTATTATTCTTATTTTTGCACACAGAGTAACAATACAGAGGAACAACTGGTAACAACTGATTGCTTTGAAAAGATCGATTACTATCGATAGTATTGTTGGAGTTACGTTGACGCTAATATAACCCGGAAAAAAAGCTGAATTAAATTTAGCTTTTTCGCTACTTTTTTTCTAGATGAATGCGAACAATAGCTAATAGGATTTAAGTCAGACAAGAAATTTCCAGAATGACTAAATAACAGAATTAAAATATTAACATAAAATGTTTTGTAAAACTGCAAAGTTTAAAACCAAATTAAAAATGATAATATTTTAAACAATCAATAAACATAATTACAATAAATACTCATTAACCTAAGAAAATTCATAAATGTTTCATACATATGCATGTCTTTGTCTGGAGGTAGATTAATTACATCATGTTCTGAAAAATGCAAGAATTATATACTTCAACACACTGCTGCTATCATAAGCATCCTGCTGAAACATAGATAGTTATAGTCCTCTCACTATTCAACTAGTCAATTATTATTTTATTTTTCGGAAATCACGTCAACCATCTCAGTACTTTATGGACAAAACAGACATCCAAAGATTGCAAGACGAAGAACAAACGATGCCCAAATAAAATTTTTTCTACTTACTGAGTCATTCATCAATTTATTTATAATTTCATCAACTACAAAGTCCAATTGTTAAAAATTTTTCTGTATTAATAAAATTTGTGTACTGAAAAACTTATTTTAATCCAAAATTTCTTCCGGAGTATCCAACCAAGGAACCGGATTCACGTACGCTGGAGTAGCTTGTTGATCAGCTGAAATCACAATCACTAACATAAATTTAATCAACTCTTTACCACTAGCATTATTTTTTTAACCTTCATTACTTACTCAGTGAGTGTTACACCGCGGTGGTAAGTCAAGCCCAATATTGCTAAATTTTTTATGTTCTTACATTAAAATAAAAAAGAACTCATTTTTTTTTTATTACGAAGCGATTCGATTGGAATTACTACTAAAAACCAAGTTTGAAATTCTCCGAAATTTTTTTGTTGCAAAATAATTTTTCTTGTAATTAAATTAACATTTTTATGCACTACAGTGAGAAAAAAATTTCTTAAAAAAAAAAAATAGATATTGTTGTGACAAGAAATTAATTTGTTGAAAATTTTAAACAATTTTATTTCTTAACTGAAGAAACAAACACTTTTCTCACAGTAACTCTCTTGTTCGAAAAAAAAGTTTTTTCGATTTAGAAAAAATCAACTTTAGATAAACAGCTTGTAAATTTTCATCCAAAATTATTTTTCTCAATTCTAGAAAACTTTTTTTTAGCAAGACAGTTACTGTAAGAAACATTTTTATTTCTTCAGCTAAAAAATAAAATTTTTAACAAATTAATTTCTTATTCCAACATTGCTCATTTTTTTTCAAAAGAAATTATTTCTCTCAGTGTAGTAAAAATTTAAAAATAATATTTAATTTACCATTTATATAAATTTATGTATTTTTAACACAAAAAGTGTTCATAACTATTTTTAATTAAATTAATTGTAATCAATTGTCTTTCATCATCTTCACTTATGATAACCAAACAAATTTAGTCTCAACAGATAGGTTTTAACATAGAAAATATGCCTTGGTGGAATTGCCGACTGATTTCTGTTCATAGCGATCTGGCAACCATGTATGAACAGGTAAGTCAATTTCGATAACTTAACCGATATGATAAAAGGGTGCAATTGGTAGTTTAATGTCATTTGTTGACTGAAATCTATGAAATATCAACGACTGTTATCAAATAAATTATAATGCTTGTTCATTTTCCATTAGTTCAATCTATTAAGAAATTAACAAAAGAAATAACAAGTTTTATATTTTAGTTTTGAGAATCAATTGCCGGGAGTAATTTCAACTCAAGCTTAAGGACAGCTGCATTGTTAAATTGTTTGAATATTTTTTCTTTGTCCTCAAATTTAATAAAGCCCAATGATTGACCAGTTCTTCTCAGAAAATCAGTAGTCCAGTTTTCGAGAGTTGCGTTGTGACTTGCTAAAGATATCTGACCTATGTGAATAGGAGTGTGTTTGGTGTAATCATAAACTTCAGTTGTTGACTTGGGCTGTTCAAAGACCAAAATCTGAAATTCAAATTTTTGGTAGCTATCGATTACAAACGATCCAGTTCATAAATATTTTTCTTATTAATTTCTCATCAACATGTAGATATTGAAGATTGTCAGGAAGCATAGGAATTTTTAGATATAATTTTTTTTATCGGTTTTCGGTATAATTATCGCTTTGACAGAATCTCTCCGATAAAATCTCCCCTCTAAAATCTCCCCGCGACAAAATCTCCCCACTACAAAATATACAAAATAATATTGATTATTCCATTGATTTACATTAGTTGATAATTTTTGTATTTCAACATTCAACATTTATAATAAAAATAAATAAAATAATTATAATATTAAAAGGGCACAACACGGTCACAAGCAAAGGTAATAAAATAATCATAAAGTATTTAAATTATAATAAATTTTTAAAATTAGTTAAGAGAGATTTTCTCAGTGAGATTTTGTCGCGGGGAGATTTTGTCCGGGAAGATTTCGTGGTGGAACCGGTAAATCGCGCGCGCCAGAGACGAATCGCAGTTACGGTAAAAGAATACTCAAATGAGATTATTGAGAAATTTGAGATCATAAAGTTTACATTATTGTACTTTGTAGCCAGTCTATGAGATCGCTTGATGTCAGGAGATTCATCAATAAAAAGATCTCTCAAAAACTTTGGTTTACCAGAATTTATAAGCTTATAAAAGAAACAGGCAAGACAATAAGACCTTTTGGATTTGATTGTCTATATGGTGTAATATGCTCATCACGTTTTAAATTGAAAATGAATCTGATTGCATTGTTCATCAGACGTAGTAATTTATAGTCCAATTTTTTAGATGAATCAACCATGACTAGAGAACAGTATTCAATTATAGTTCAACAATACTTAATAAAATTGGTATTAGAGATGAATCACCACTTAAATTTCGTAACAATACTTTTGAAGATATTGATAAACATTAAAACGATCATTTTAAATAACAAAATCTAAAATTATAACAAATGCTTACCATTTACTCAAATCGTTTTTTATAAATTGTTCAGTGCTACTTTAGCATATGATGGATGATGAAATCTAAAAGATAGGGAACGTGGTATCGGGACTTTATAAACATGTCGCGATATTTCTATGCATGACACTTCTACTAGAGCAGCCTTTAGCGGAAGCGGTTATTTTAAATATCATTTCTGTCACTTGAGCCTTATTACCCGCGGGTATTTTATAGTAAAAAACTATGATAATGAACACCTATTACCTGATATACACAATCGCCGGTCAAAATCGACGAGACATAAGAAGTTTCATTCTCCCTCCAAGCTCCCGAAAGTCCCGTTTGTTCAATCCAGCGCTTAACATCTTCAGGATAGTCGCTTCCATTTTCCAATTTGATTAAAACAGATTCATCGGCTTTGACGATACACTCTTTGAATGAAAAACACATGTAATTATCTATGTAGCGATCCTCAATACCCAGCACATTTCCAGTTAATTTATTGTAATTAAAATCGATTTTTTTGGAAGCTTGAACTTGAATTCTCGGAAAGTAGCCAGCATTGAAAGTCTCGTTGCAATTAAATGCAGTAGTATAAGATTTTAGTCTCCAGTAATCTGTAAAATCGTTTTTCACGTACTGTCCTCCCGTTTCGCCGTGGAACAAATTGCCCATAAGTTCACCAGTAAGCTGATCTAAATTCACGTTATTGACAACATCGCCCGCTGTTAATTGATGAAAAGAAATTTTCGCGCTATTTATTCCCGCGAAAACCGAGAAAAATGCCACCGCAGCAAGAAAATTTTTGAAATTATTTTTTCGATCCATCGTAACGCGTATTTAGATTCGGACTGAAGTCGTCAGTTGCTATGTTAACTTTATATATCTGAGGTTTTTCGTTATTTAACGGGAAACGGTGATGCAACGTATTTTTGTTTATTTTATCAGTCATATCGATGAAGGTTGACATCAGTGTGGCCAGAACGTGCTCTTTTCTTACCCCCACTTTGTAGGCCACTCTAATCTGACTACATTGAAAAGCGGTACAAAGTGGGGGTAAAAAAATCGCACGATCTGGCCACACTGGTTGACATTAAAAAATATTTTCTCTACTTGAGAGTTAAAATCATTAAATTATGCTACACTGTTACGTAAATAATAATTATTATGTCTATTTATTTACAGTGAAATAATAGTATATTACACTACAAGGGCAGAAAGTTTGAGATTCCTGCACTGCGCGCCATATGCCCGAGGCGAAGCCGAGGGCATCATGGCACGCAGTTCAGGGCTCTCAAACTTTCTGCCCATGTAGTGTATACTAGTTTTCTTACTATGCGGTCGAAAGTACGTTAAAAATTGCGTTGAAAAAAATTGATGCCTGCCCCCGACATTTGCGGCACGAGCGAAGCGAGTGCTGCTGGTCGGGGGGGCAGGCATCAAATACACCTGTCAATAAAGATATTAATATATAATCTATCA